TAAGTCGTAATCTCGCAAGAGATAAAGATAAAAGACAGACACACAAGACTGCGAGTGACAGCACAATAGAATGCCACCACTCGTTGTCTCTATGTGAATGATTTTAAAAGTAAACCCTCGATGTGCGGGATCAACTCGCACTTGACCGATTTTTTAAATTAAAATATGTAGTATTATCGGTGGGGTTTCTAGTAATTTGTTTTTGTAATGTAATTTTTGTTAGATATATTTTTTTCAATTCAATTCAATTCTCTTGTTAAAGTAACTGTTGAGTTTCTCGCCGGCTTTTCTCAGCAGAACTGTCTTCCGAGCCGGTGTTAGATACAAGATTCCTCACGAACTTACATACTGACGTTTAATTTAAATTTTAATAATATAAAAAGTGACGATACAAAAGTACTTCTGAAAGTCTATTTAAATAAAGTATAATATTTTGATTTGATTTGAATGGCTTCAAAGCGTGCCAGTTGAGCACGGATTGGGTACTTCAACAATGTCTACCTATAGGTAGATACTTTCTAAGTCAATATTAATAAGAAACCAATATTTACCAAAAACTATAACTATAACTATATATATATATATATATATATATATATATATATATATATATATATATATATATATATATATATATAAGTAGTTTTTATTATAATATGTTTTGTAAACTTAAAACTCATAATAAGATAAATGGAGTGATAGAACAATAAATGAAGCCAAATCAAAAAGAAATTTAAATAATAATTAATTATTCCTCTTCCCTTAACTATACTGATACTAATATAATATATACTAATACTAGGTAATCTATACTAATATTATAAAGAGGTAAAGTTTGTGAGTTTGTGACATTGTAGGGGATAATCTCTGGATCTACTGAACCGATTTAAATGAAATTTGGTAAGAAGATAGTTCGAGAGCCTGGGAAGGACATAGGATCCTTTTTATCCTGGAAATCATCTCTTAAGGGGATGAAAATGGGGATGTAAGTTTGTATGAGGAATCAACCTAGGAACGAACCCGAGCGAAGCGAGGGTGAGTCCCTAATCTATATATAAAAAGCTGAAGACAAAACAGTTCAATACCTTCGTCTTCTCTATATTAATTTTATTTATTATTAAAAAAATATAAGTATTTTATTTTTACTTTCAAGATTGGTACTCCTATTCTTTTTGTGTATGTGGACCTTCTTATTTGTTAAGTTTTCACGCCTGAACCTAGATTGGACCTTAGATAAGCACATTTTACCTTTTTTTTACCGGGGTACGTTTTTTTTTGCGAAAATAAAACTCGAAGGGGGCGAATAACCGGATGAAAAATTGTATGGGGAACCCAGCATTTCTCAAGTTAGGGATATGAAAATGCAATATGCATAAATAGTATACTTTTTGGGCTATCACTGCCTTTTACGAGCACTATTCGTGAGTTCGTAATACCCCTTCTAAACTGCTTGACTGATTTTAATGATATTTTTCTGTATACTTATGGGATCCCCTGTATCATATTTAGCTGTAGTTGGACACGGTAGGTGGCGCTGTAGTCGAGGTTAAGAAATTTTAATTTAAAAGACCACAAACATATAACAAAATTGTAACTAAGCCGAATCTGTACATTAAATATTTTTTGGAAAATCTTATTGAAGTAATAAGTAATTATTATCGATACAGAAGCCAAATCTATAGTTTTTAGATTGTTTGTCTGTCTATCAGTGACCGCATCACGAGAAAACCACTGGACAGATTTTGATGAAATTCGGTATGATGATAGCTGGTTATCCGAGCCAATATATAGGATACTTTTTACTGCGGGAAAATATCTCATCTCTGAGAAATCTATACTAAACATTAAAACATTCCTAGGGACATTGCTAGGATATATAATAAAATGATATAAAACAGAAGCAAATCCAAATCGAAAGTTTTCAACTTGCGTTAATTGGTAGCCGTGCGCCTGACCGCGCCGCGGGCCACGTCAATCTGCCTAACTGTTTCTGTTGCTGATAGAACGTTTTGTTTGTTCATTTTCATATTTTAAAGTATATTTTGTTAGTTTATTTTACTGCAGAGTTTTGGTATTTATGAATGATCTTCGATATATTATAGTCATGTATTTGTAGTAGCTCCCCCCCAACGTGCGTTCACCTTGTCGTGGTGGGGGGGCTCAGTAGTGCCCGGCGACCCAACCGGGCGCGAAGCCAAGAAACGCACAGGGAGGTGGCCCACTTCGGTGGGCGGTGGGAGGTGGCCCTCTTCGGAGGGCAGTGTACCATGCGGGTTGCTCCTGGTACTTCTCTGATAGCAGAGTGGACTGTGGAGCAACCCCGTGGTTGTTGTGGTCTGCTTCGGCAGACCTGCCGTCGGGGCGTCGTAGTTGAATGCGTAAGCGATCCTGCGACGCCCCATTAAGACGGGGGAAGGCTTTGTTGGGTTTTAGTGGGTAGTACTGGCTTTGCCGGTGAGTCCTACACCTCGTGCGTAAATGCATTTCCCAACATAAAAAAAAAAAAAAAAAAAAATGTATTTGTAGTAGCTATAGTTGTGTCTATATGAAATGATTTTTTTTTTAAATATGTTGGGACATTAACACACAACACTATCTAGTTCCATGCTAAGTTACAAGGCTTGTGTTATAGATACCAGATAGTTGATAAACTATACAATATATATTATAACTTTAAATACATATAGGCTATATTATAAATATAAACACCCATGACTGGAGTACAAACATTCGTGCTCATCTCACAAATGAATGCCCCCAGCGGGACTCGAACCCGTGACCGCTCGCACAGCAAGTAGCGTCACTACAAACTGAGCCAAGCGTATCGTCCAAATTGTATAGAACATTTGAAAGTGATTTCAAAAAAATAACTATTATTCCCTCCACGACCGCGGACACGCCGGCGTGTCAGTTAACAATAGATTTCTTAGAAATTTAATTAATTTCTTAGAAATATACCTGGAGGTGTCAACTTACGTTTTTAACGTAATAAAATGTTTTTAACGTAATGATAGCATAAAATTGACCTAAATTAATTAAAGGTTTCAACTTTCTATACATCCATTAAATTAATTATATTTGCTTAGAAATCTAATTTAGATACTAACATCAACTACACTGTGCCCGTGTATGTATGTATGTATGTGTTCTTCATTTACTGGGTCGTATAATAAATTCTAACTAAGTCGAATCTGTACATTAAATATTTTTTGTAAAATCTTATTGAAATAATCATTATTATCGATACAGAGGACGAATCTACAGTTTTTAGAATTTTTGTCTGTCTGTCTGTCTGTTACCGCATCACAGAAAAACCACTGGAGGGATTTTGATAAAATTTGGTATGGTGATAGCTGGTTATCCGGGTCATCATAGAGGGTAGTTTTTATTGCGGGAAAATATCTCATCTCTAAGAAATTTATACTAAACGTTAAAACGTAACTAGGGACGAAGCCATACATAGTATTATATGATCTGTGGTCGTAGACTCGTAGTAACCAGTTATTATATATTTGCAAGATAAGTGGTTATGGCAAGCACCTTAATGAAATATATTTAAATAAAACATTCAAATAAATGGATATATCTCCAGAAGGAATATATTTAAGGATTCTCTATGATTTTGCTTCATCACAATAATAGGTTAAGCGACAAAGCGATAAAATTATAATCTACTTATACTAATATTAAAGAGGGAAAGTTTGGAGTTTGTGAGGTTATAAGGAGTAGGTAATCTCTGGATCTACTGGACCGATTTTGATAAAATTTGGAAAGAAAATAGGCGGAGACTCTGGAAATGATATAGGATACTTTTTATCCCTGATATCGTCCCTCAAGGGGGTGAAAATGGGGATGAGAATTTGTACGGGGAATCAACTTAGGGTAAAATTAAAAATATAACAAAAAATATTTAAAAGTGATCAAGTACCTATTAGTTGCGAACAACGACTACTTAACCCTCGGGCTAAGTAGTGGTTGGTTGCAAATAACAATCACCGGGCGTTTAACTACTTTTATCTCTGTATCTAATTTTTATCATTTCTTTATTCTTATGTGCCTTGTAGACAACTAATGTGAGAAATGAAACTTCTACAATATTACATAATATGAAATTTGAATTAATATTAGGATCTGTTTATATTTTTTTTATTTTTAAATAATATTTCAGCGCCATCTATTGAGTAGTAGTTATCACATAGCTTATTGAAAAGCGCCATCTAGTGGTGAATAGTTTTTTATCGCAAGTATAAAATGGTACGTATGATTACGGTGAGTCACTAGATGGCGTTGGTAGTAAAAGAATAAAGCGCTAAGATAAAACAAAGTAAAGTAAAATAAAAAAAATAATATATTTTATAATATAAAAAACGTGTAATATCTAAAATTCTTTATTAATGTCCTTCATTTATTTTAAAATATTTTTCAAATATTAATAATATACAAACTTTTATTTTAACACGCTATATACATGTACAATAATTTATTAAAATATAAATAAAACAAAAAAAAATTAATAATAATAAAATGAAAAATGCTATTATTTATATGTACCTACTAGATTTTGAAAATGAGAATTATTTTAAAATGTTCTCAAGATTTTTTTACATTCAGAATAAATATATTTTTTTTTAATATTCATATATAAATTTAATCAAAATATTGATTATTAATATTGTAAATTAACATTTCAATTTAATCTAATAAATCTAAAATAACGAAAAGAAACAACAAAACTTTTTAACTTTGAACGCATCCATAGCAATCTTAAAAAAACATCCCAAAGCTACTTCGTTATTTAAAAAAATAACATTAACCAATCAAATTCCAGAATTCATCTCACCGGTCAAATATCGCGCTGTGATTGGTCGATCAATTAAACAGGTGCTATGCGTCATCCGCCATATCGTTGGAAATTGTGAAAGTGTAAATTGTTTGCTTGGAGAATAATACGGAAATTCTTTGTTTTAATTTATTAAAGTGTTACAAATGTGTTATTAAACATGAGTGAGTGGTACAGGATGAAGAACGGCTTCAATAAGCATAATTCTTCCGAATTGTCAGTGGAGACTTCTTCTGAAATGTCAGATTCATACAACATATTTTCTGATAATTTAAGTCCTATACCGGCTTCAATAGTGCCTCGAAAGTTAGACTTTAGTGGTATAGAAGATGATGAGTGCATCAGAGACGGTTCTACGGCTCCAACATCCCTTAGCCCTCCATACAAAAGGGTTAGGGCTCTCAAGTAAGTAGAGTTGAAGTCATTAGTTAATCAGGGCATATATACCACGTTTTACGTGATACGACTGTTTATACGCTCTAGAAACGGCATTTTCGTTGGATTAAGCCCTAAAAATGCAAATGTGTTGTTGTTTGTTGTTTTTTAATTCATGTAACTTAGATTTAATTGGATCCAATATAATATAATAATGTTTCAAGTGTATAAGAAGAAGTCCACTATAAAATTAAACTGCTAGTCGGTAATATTTCTTAATGCGTCATTATTATTACTTTATTTTTTTAACAAAAACTAAAATGTTTTACAAAACAATATGCCTATCATCATATCTATGCAACAACAGAAACTTCTAGAAGCTTCATAACTATGGAGACATATGTAAAGTCCATATTTTATCCTTTCAACACCATTCTCTATATGTAAATTTGATTTGACTATAGTATAAACATTTAACTTTCTCAGTAATTACCTTTATTAGTTAATACCAATGCATATCTTTTATTTTATGCACCCTAACTAATCGAGAACAAGATTATTTGAAATGAAATCATATATTGTGATATCCATGTTTTTTCATATTAATTGTAACACAATTATTATGTACATGCTTAAAATAATTATAATATGTTGACTAAAATCCTAATTATCAAACTTTTAAAGAATTTCATAGCAACCTGGCATTTGCCTGATGTCTAATTTCCTGTTCAAACATGTCGTGACACAATTTGAAACATGTTCTTTTGGTGTTGTTGTTAGCAAAACTGGTTTTTGGAGGTATTTGGGTCATGATATAATGTGAAGTCAATATTAAACTTTTAGTTTTTTTTAACAACAACACAAAAAGAAAATATTTTTTTATGTTTTAGCTATTAAATGGCTAAGTCATAAATTATATTATTAAATAAAACTATATTTTCCGATTATTTCGCGGATTTATTTTGATTTGTGGTTCCCGACGTTTCGAATGCTTTACAGCATCCATGGTCACGGGAGAGACTGAAAATCTAAGAAAGTATTATCATAAATTATAATTGATTCAAGTTTTACATGTCAATGTAACTTCTGTAAAACAGAATTATTCTTGTATTTTTGAAATCAAACTTATTTAAGTATGTAACATAAAAACAAATTTCATTTTACTTATACTTAATAAATTCCTAGAAAGTGAACATATAAAAAGGGTAACTTTTCTATTACAATTTGTAACTAGCAATGTTGTATCACTTATAATGTACAAACATAATTAAATATATAAATGAACATGTATAGCTTGAAAACGTACCTAATTAAAGCACTAGCCAGCCTTTTACTTCTACAGACTTTCAATGCAAAAATATTTTAAGGACTAATATTTTAAAAGCTCATACTAAATAAAGTACAGAATAGTCTGAAAAAGTTAATAATTGATCCCTAAAATGGTATTCTATTTGCTAAGAATATAGTTTCATTAGAAGTACTAGTATACTGATTGACTTTGACCTCATTTTTACTATATTATGTGCTCAGTTAAACTATTTTTAACATATTAAGGTATAAACACAAAACCTTTACATTTCTAATTCGTACATACATACAGGTAAATAAAATTAAAGCGTCTGTTTGTAATGTCAACATAACAGCTTTTTACTAAATGCATATGAAATTTTATACGGTACTTATAACAAAGTTACAATTTTTAAATTTTTTGGCTGTCTGTTCCCGCTGTTCTCTGAAATGGTTGGACACTGATTTTGATGGGACTTTCACTGGCAGATAGCTGATGTTATAAGGAGTAACTTAGGATACTTTTATTTTAGAAAAAACATTTAGGGTTCTGCTTAAAACAATTAAACATACCTAGTGAATCACCCGAGCAAAGCGAGGGTAAGTCGCTAGTGTTAAAAATAAAATACCATTATTTCATTGACATAGAAATAAGTAATTAAATTTATATCTAAGTATTATATTCTTTGACTTAAAAATATTAGAAGCAATAAAAACTAATCACATTAAAAAACCATTTACAATTCCAATCATAAAATTAAACCTTTGACCTATAAACTTTAAACATTAATTGCGAGATAAAACACCCTTGATGTAGATTATGCAACCATTTTCTTATCAATATATAATTGTTTTAATGTCAAAATGTGTGTATACCCAATGTTGATACTTCGGTAGTAATTGCACAACAATATATTTAATATCTTGTTTATTTTTGCCATTTAATTCACCGTAAGGCTGGTTTAGACTGAGACCCTACAGTATACACAGTACACTCAGTGTATACACCGAGTGTCTCTGTGTGAATGCAAGTGTCTCTAATTTTACAATTAGAAAGTGTCTTAAACCGGCATTTACACTGTTAATTTTTATAAAACATAACTATGTTTGTCTGTATGTACATGATAACGTTTTGGAAACGAAAAATGTTTGTGATTGAAAGCTACAGTGGTTTTAAAAGTTTTCATGGTAGAAACTTATCGGAGTAGGCATAGGTTATTTTCTATCAGCATTTCATGCAAGTCTTAAAGAGCCATTAGTAGTATTGTTATTTAATTCAGAAATGATCAATTCAATACAATTCTCTTGTTAATAGCTTCAAAGTGTGCCAGTTCAGCACAGATTATTAAGAATTAATGTCATGTAGAAATTCAAAAATAAGTTTTTTTTTTATTGTCGCTCGACAAGATGACTCCATGACGCCTGATGGTAAGCGACAGTGGAATCCAGAATGAGATCCATCGGTTCCGGGACTTGATCTAGACTAGAGACTCACACTCGCTTCGTTCGGGTTCATCCCTAGTTTGCTTCCCCATACAAACTTTCATCCCCATTTTCACTCCCTTAAGGGATGATTTCCGGGATAAAAACTATCCTATGTCCTTTTCAGGGCCTCAAACTATGTTCTTACCAAATTTCATTTAAATCAAATCGGTAGTTACGGAGCCTATTCAGTACAAACAAACAAACAATCTTTCCTCTTTATAATATTAGTATAGATGTATCTGTATTATAATTGTGCTCATTGTCGAAAGCATAATATTAAAATACGTACATATGTTCTACTTTCACATATACTTTTACTTGGAGAGGTAACTTTGTTAATTTTAATTGGGAGAAACTAAAGAAATAGTCATTATTATGATGTGTGGTCTTAGATTTCATATATTTAAATATGGTTTTTAAATATCTATCCGTGTGTATATATAGAGAAACCCCCATTTTTGTAAAATAATTATCATAATGATCAACCTAGTATTTCTATTCTAATAATAATTATGTGTTACTAGCGACTCACACTCGCTTCGCTTTGGTTTGTCCATAGACAAAAATAAATCTATCCCACGGGAAACCGTTCATTTCTTCGGGATAAAACTTAACCTATGTGCTATTCCAGACTATAATCTATGCCTGTGCCAAATTTCATTCAGATACGTTCAGCCGTTCTGGCGTGAAAGAGTAACAAACATCCATCCTAACAAACACTGCTGGGCTGGCCTTCGTTCATTACGAGGGGCATCAGGCCATAGTCCACTACGCTGGCCAAACCAAACGCGGGTGGACTGAGCATGTCTTTTGAAAACTTGCTAGGTTCTCTCAGACATGCAGGTTGGAAAATCTTATTGAAATAAACATTATTATCGACACAGAGACCGAATCTACAGTTTTTATAATTTCTGTATGTCTGTCTGTTACCGCATCACAGAAAAACCACTGGAACGGAAAATATCTCATCTCTGAGAAATCTATACTAACCGACGAAACGTAACTAGTTTTATAATAAATACAAAAGACAAATTTGTACATAATAACCAGTTTACCTAAAATTTCGGTTGAAATCTGTTAAAGAACAGTTATACCGACAATAAACAAAACATATGATCGAACAGCTGACTACAGCAAAAACTCCTACGCACAAAAAAATGCGCACCTTGACACGAAAAAATATACTTGACAATCGGTTTTAAACTCTATTTATTGGTAATAAGATGTATTTTCCCTCACTTTAATACGTTCAATGTGATTTAAGTTTTTTTTTTAAATAATACATTTGGGCCTGTTTTCTTAATATTTAGGTTTCTCAACGCTTTTATTCCATAGAAATTGTAAGTTATATATTTACAAACTAGTTTCTGCCCGTGGCTTCGTCCACAATCTATTCAATTCTATTTACATACTCGTTGTCTGCGTCTGTCTGTTTCTCCGCTCACATCTTCTAAACTATGCAAACAGATTTTGATACAGTTTTCGCTAATAGAAAGAGCGATACACGAGGAAGGCATGTGTATTTAATCTATTACATATAATAAAGTTGTAACTAAGCCGTACTAATCTGTACATTAAATATTTTTTTGGAAAATCTTAATGAAGTAGACATTATTATCGATACTGAGGCCGAATCTATAGATTTCAGAATTTTTGTCTGTCTGTCTGTCTGTATGTCTGTTTCCGCATGACGGAAAAACCACTGGAGGGATTTTGATGAAATTTGGTATGATGATAGCTGGTTAACCGGGTCAACATATATGATTTGCCACGGGAAAATATCTCTGAGAAATCTAAACTAAACGTTAAAACGTAAGTAGGGACGAACCTGAGCGAGGCTGAGTCGCTAGTTTGTAAATATATTGTTTTGTTGAAAATATTGCTTACGTGTGAATAAATCGCTAACGTTGGCTTAACCTTGAGAGTTACATCAAAACAATGTAAAAAATTGGAGGTATTTAAAAGGCCTATGTCAACGACATGATAGCATGTGTCCATTTCCTGAGGTACGCGCTGTTTAGTGTCAAAACAAACAAACTCGAGAGCTTTATTAGTAGTTACTATGTATATATAAGTTTATTTAAATCTATACATATGTATAATAAAATTCTAACCAAACCGAATCTGTACATTAAATATTTTTTGGAAAATCTTATTGTAATAGACATTATTTTTGATAAAGAGACCGAATCAATAGTTTTTAGAATTTTTGTCTGTCTGTCTGTCTGTTACCGCATCACGGAAAAACCACTGGAGGAATTTTAGCATTGCCCTCTTGTGTAAAGAAAAGCATATTTCTTTAAGTCTTTATACTACATTTAGCTACTATAGTTGTTTTCTAGCACACGCTTCTCGAACTTTCTATTTCGCTATCTATAAATAGAAATTCATTATATTTTATTTGCCATGTCATTTGTCTATGACAATGTTAAGTTTTATCCAAATATGTACAGCAATTGAACAACTAACATCTATTTCGCAAAATAATATTATTAGCATTACTTACTACCATATAAATAAAATAAAAATGAAATGTATCCGCGAATTCGCCCGCGTCTAAACTTCTGATTGCTACAAATCTTCACAAGATCACCCGCTGGGCTAATATGTAGATTGCCTGAAAATTTCATCAAAATAGCTCCAGCCGCTTTAGAGTCCATAGGTACAACATACTAACTCACATACAAACTTTCTCATTTATAATACTGCTGACATAAAATTTCATCTAAACATGTACATACATATATAGCTATTTTTAACGAACAGACTCACAAAAACACTTATTGCATTACGCATAATAAAATTATATATTAACATGAGTATTTCTGCCATTACATAATATGGGGTTATAAAAGCAATAAAGATATATATTATAATTCTTACTTACTTGTTTTTAAAGTCCATTTTCAAACAAGCAACCTTTACAGGGTCAGGTGTTTGCTATGAATAGTTCGCATCTTAAGAAATACACCTTTTGTGTCAATTATGAGCCTTATTTTAGTGGAAATAAGGCACTTTTTTGTTTAAACTCAGGTGTGGAGAGTTGTGTGCATGCAAGTGTTATACAACTGTGAGGAGGTTAGGGGGAAAAGGACAATAGGTTTCTTAACAATCATTTTTTTTTAAAAGAATATCTTTTTCTTTTATACTTTATACATTCAATGTGTAGGTGATGTAATTTTTTGTGGTTTTTTGTATTTGGAGACGAAATAAGTATGATCTGGTTTTTTTTTTATTAAGTTATGCTCGCGATCACGTGTCGCGTTTCGATTAAAAAGTAGAGAGAGAACATCCGTTTATTTAATATAGTGTCAAATTTTACTGATTTTATGAATTCATTGATCTTACGAAAATAACATGCTTTGTTTTATAGTAGACTAGCGACTCACCCTCGCTCCGGGTTCGTCGCCTAGTGAAAAACAAAAACAAGTTATCCCACGGGAACTGTACATTTTTCCGGGATAAGAAGTAACCTATGCGTTGTTCCAGACTATTATTTGTCATTGTGCAAAATTTCATCCAGATCTATTCAGTCATGAAAGAGCAACAAACATCCATCCTCACAAACCTTCATATTTATAATATTAGTATGGATATTTGTTAATAGTTTTTTAAGACTTTAAAATCAATTTATTAAACTTGATTATTATAATTTTTTAATTTTACATTTTAAAGCTCCTAATTAAACTACATTTTTATTCTTTTCCAGATTGTTCGACAGTCCACACACGCCCAAAACTCTGTTAGAGAAGTGTTCCACCCCCTCTCACCACCAGACCAGGTCACGGCTGTTTCCACCTAAACTGAACGCACCGACAGGTAAAATATATATAAAATTAGCATTTACTGGCCATATGGGTTTGCCTTTGACCTTTGAATTATAAATTTTCTAATAACTTTTTATAGTGCCTATCATTTATACTTCTATATTAATATTATAAAGAGGCAAATTTTGTATCTTTCTTTGTTTGAACTCGCTAATCTCAGGAATTACTAATCCGATGTAAAAAAATCTTTTTGCTCTAGCTAGCCTGTTTATTGAAGAAGGCTATAGGCTATATATCATCATGCTACTGCCCGAAGGAGCGGAGCAATAATCATAAATGTCGATAAATCCGGCAGACTTCGATACATTATTATTATATATTATTATTATATACTGATGTTTATAATATGTTTAAGTGCTTTAAGCTCAGAAACAACTGTGCCCATTTCAAAAATGCCTTTTGCTAAAAAAGAAAGCCAAAGAGTTTTTTTGTAGTATTAGCGCGAGTAAATTTTTTTTTTATTTTTTTTTTAAAGCCGCGGGTTCTGCTAGTTTGCTATAAAAAGAGTTTGTTATTTCTAGAGCCGTTGTTGTAGGTTAGACACAATCCACTACAAGCGAATGAAAGTCGCAAAGGCTATCGAAAGCATGTAAAGACTATGTACCCATGATGAGCAATGGGTTAAATTTTATTAAATTATTTTTATATTTAAACTAGGGAGATACCCTAACTTCTTATTACTAACTGTAGCCAACATGTTACTCCAGCATATAGGCTATCTGTGTACAAAATTTCATCAAAATCCGTACAGCCGTTATGAGATGAAAAATTAACAAACGCACAGATGCATATAATAGCAGTCCTATTGAAATATAACCTTAAATACTTTTCTCCAGGCATGCCATCGGGCTCGAGCCACCACCTGCACCCGCCGTCCGACGAAGACTCAGCACTTGGAAGCTTACCACCCGACGAACTGGACGAGTCACGCCCGGTGCGACGACCGATGGCCAACATCAATCCTTTTACGCCTGATGGTAAGTTATATAAGTATGATTAGGATGATCAGGAGGTCCTGGGATCGAATCCCGATTGGGTTTTTCAAGAAATTCTCTTTAAACAGTCCGGACTTGGGTAGTGTAGGTTGTTTCAGCTTTGGAAAGCATGTGTTGCGTTAGTCCTCCTGTGCTTAATCTCTCACTTTGAGTGTTGAATTGTCACCTCATGTCTCCACTTGATGCCACAGAATTTTAAGTGATATGGTATGATAGAAAGTAACAGTATTTTAAATAAAACTATCTTTTTGGATTTTTTCGCGAATTTATTTAGATTTTTGGTTCCCAACGTTTCGAATCCTTTACAGCAATCATGGTCACGGGAGAGACTAAGGTTATAGACGTCACAACAGCATTATATAGTTGTTACAGACAGCCTACCAACAAATTAACAAAAATAAATTCAAGTGATGTAACAACTATGTATATAATGCTTTTGAGACGTCTTAAACCTTAGTCTCTCCTGCGACCATGATTGCTGGAATCAAAAATCAAAATAAATTCGCGAAAAAATAGTTTTATTTAAAACTAGCACTGCCCTCGGCTCCGCTTGCGTTCAGATGACCAAAAAACAAATTCTTAGGTTTTACATATAAGTATACTCTTACATTGCAGTTTTTGTATTTTTTCTCAGAAATGCGATATTTTCCCGCGGTAAAAAGTATCCTATATGTTGATCCGGATAACCAGCTATCACCATACCAAATTTCACTATCCCACCAGTGGTTTTTCTGTGATGCGGTAACAGACAGACATACAAAAATTCTAAAAACTATAGATTCGGCCTCTGTATCGATAATAATGTCTATTTCAATAAGATTTTCCAAAAAATATTTATCGTACAGATTCGGCTTAGTTAGAATTTTATTATATGTATAGATTTCAAATATTTGCATAAATCTAAGAAAGTAACCTACATGTTATGTCACCTTTGCTTCTGTTGCAAAAGGAAAAACATTTGAAACAGTATGCCTTCTTACTTGCATTTAATATAAAAAAATATTTATTTGAAAAATATTGATTGAGGATATTAAGTAATTGTAAAACGATTTTGAAATCCAGCTCGCACTTGACTATTTTTTAATTATATTTCCTCTTCCAGGTCAAGCTCTAAATAAGAAAAAGCGAGCGTTATCAAAAACACCCACGTGGGGTGATGCGACGCCGGAACAACCGGCGAAAAGATTGCGAGTAAGTGTGTATAATATTTACTATGACTCGGTGGTGTAGTGGCTAGCATGTACGGCTGCACACCCGGAGGTCCTGGGTTCGAGTCCGGGTCGGGCCAAGTTTAGTTATTGAGTCTTTCTGTATAGTAAGTCTCAGTAACAGCCCGGAGTTGGGAAGTTGGCGGTGTTTCACTCCCATGCCTCGGAAAACACGTAAAGCCGTCGGTCCTGCGCCGACACTCTCACCGCGAGTGTCTCGTGTCGTCCCACCGGAGTATGAGAGTGACAGGAATAGAGAGTGCACGTTGTGTCTGCGCTCTCGCTCACACGCGCTGCACTATAATATCTCCTGCAGTTGGCTAGTCTCAATGAGATTGGCCACCGTGGTCTGAATCGGTCAGGAGGGAACATCATAATATTTACATATTAATTATTATTATTTAGTATGGTTTATTGCTCTATAAGCTCAGACTAAATATTTATACAGATGGAGCCCTCCAAAATAAATGGCGAAGTCAAAAATAGTAGCGTGATTTGCTGTTTATGCTACTCTTCTAGATTTTGCTATACATATCGTTTACTTTTTTTTAAAGAATAAGAGATATTTATAAATGTATTAGTTTTGAGATTTTTTTTTTTATGAATAACTAGCGACTCACGTCGTTCGTTAGTATGGAATAGAAAAACCCTAAAAAACAAAAACAGATTAATCCCACGTGATCCGTACATTTTTCCGGGATAAAAAGTAACCTATGTACTAATTCAGACTATAATCGACCTCTGTGCCAAATTTCATCTAAATCCCTGCAGTCGTTCTGGCGTGACAGAGTAACATACATCCATCTATCCTCACAAGCTATCATTTTATAATATTAGTATGTAATTTTGTGGTCCATAAATAAAAAACAAAATTTATGTACGCACGTAAGAAGTTATACTTATTTGGCGTAATAGAAAAAAATAGCTAAAGATTTCATCCCGTATGTCACAACTCTCTGTTTGTAAAAGGAATGCAGCTAACTTCATCATGTCGGTTTTCGGCTGTCGGAGTGCGCGCCTATCGTAAAATTTTTTTCTAATCTTCAATAAAATTGACTGTCCATAGGAATCAAACATATCCCGTTACAACATCGAGTTCCTAGAGCTGGGTGTGATTGGGCTCGGTCAGTTCGGTAGAGTGACCCGGTGCCTCAACAAGTTGGACGGCTGTGTGTACGCCCTGAAGCGCTCCCTGCGCCCTGTGGCGGGCTCCGCTGCTGAGAGGGCCGCCCTCAACGAGGTGTATGCTCACGCCGCCCTCGGCAAACATCCGCATTTGGTCAGGTGAGTCCTGGGAATTGGTGGTTTTATTTTTTACTAGTACGTTTTCATTTTTTTGAGCAGAACCCTAATTCTTTTAGTCAAATAAAATTAGCCTATGTTACTCCTTATAAAATAAAATACCTGCCAGTAAAAGTCCCGTCAAAATTGGCCCAGCCGTTTCGTAGATTAGCCGGAACAAACAGACAGACAGACAAAAATTTAAAAAATTGTGTTTTTCTTATAAGTACCGCATATAATTTCATGTGCATTTAGTAAAACGTTGTTATTTTGATATTACAAATAGACACTTCAATTTTATTTATCTGTATAGATGTATAGATTAATGATGCATATTTTCTCCACAGATACTACTCGGCGTGGGCGGAAGATGACCATATGATCATTCAGAATGAATACTGCGATGGCGGCTCGTTACAGCAAGTGTTGGAGAACGGTCCGTTGCCGGAGAGTGAACTACTGCTGCTACTTGCCCACATAGCTGATGGACTTGCGTGAGTCTTGTTGTATAATATTTATAGCTGCTAGCTCTAATCCGGTCCTGGGTTCGAGTTTGCTAAAATATTTTTTTTACCGTTTACGGTCAGGTGACTGTTTACGGTCACGCCGGTCAATCTTAATGAGGATTGGTTAGTTTGTGTTGTTGTTGGTGTTAATGTACTCCTGATCGTTTTCGGTCACGATAGTTTTTGGTCTGTAAATATCAGCTCACTTGCAAAGTGAGCGTATATTTCGATTCATGAAACTGGCAAAAATAACGCGCGAAGAAGAAAATTTTTATACGGAGTGTTTTATTTTCGGTAAATACATGTAGATTAAGTCAATATTTTAATATTTAATCAACTAAATAATATAAAAATGAAATTTTGAACAATTTTAAATCCGCTAAGAACGTTGGCTCAGGTCGGCCAATATACGCGCACCAATACAAAGAAGCAAACAAAAACAAAACATAACGATTTAGCTCACAAAGCAAGAACGAGAAAAAGTGCTTTATGTTTTTTGATATAAAATAGATCTTACAAAAAAGATTATAAAACTTACAAAATGATCGTAAGTGTATGATGATAATTTGAAGATTTGTAACTTTATTACAAGGTGCTATGGTGTTGATTAGCTTGAAAATAAAACTATTATAAGACTTTGTCATGGTTCGTTAGTATACAAACGTAGCTGTATACGAGTAAGTACATATTCGCGCAGACAGAATTTAGCTTTGATTTTGTATATGACACGTTATCTAGTAGTATTGTTGATCGAAGAGAATAAATCACAACAGCTGTCATCGTTTTCACGCTCGGTCCTTTTATTTATACTTTTACCTATTTTAGCTCATTTACAAATTACAATAATCATATACTAGTTTTCATTGAATACTAATCGTTATTTTTCTAACTAATCAATCCTTCCCAACAGATACATCCATTCGCAACAGTTAGTTCACATGGATGTTAAACCCGGGAACATCTTCATCTGTCGAGGGGATGAAGCTCCTCTCGACTCGGACGACGGTTACGACGATGATGACGTGCTGCCAACTGCACAGCATAAGTACAAGATTGGTGAGTCTAGAAATATTGGTTATTATCGCCTGACCGACTTCGGTCAGGTTACCGTTAACGGTCAGGTGACTGCTTATGGTCTCGTTCGGCCAATCTCAATGTAAGTTGATGGGTTTGTGTTGTTGTCGGTGGTTATGTACTCCAGACCGTTTTCGGTCTAAGTCTAAGTATAACTAAGATTGATAATTTTGTCTTGTTACCTATACATATAGGAAAATTCTAACCGAGTCGAATCTATATTTTAAATATTTTTTGGTAAATCTTTTTGAAGTAGTCATTATTATAGATACAGAGGCCTTATCTATAGTTTTTAAAACTTTTGTCCGTCTGTCTGTGACCGTATCACGAGAAAACCACTATAGACGTCGTTAATTATTAAATTTAAAAAAAAACTAATATCGATAACAGCGCCATCTACCAGATCCAACTATAGGTAAGAACCATCTAGGTGACTTCATAAGTACAGAAATTCATCAAAATCGATTTCTGATTTGACGAAAAAATTTATATACTTTATAATATTATATGTACATAAAATATGAAAATATTTTTTTTGACGTGATAACGTCTTATAAATCGATAAACGCCGGCTGCACGCATGAAAAAGTGTCACGTCCCGCTCGAGCCGAGCGTGCGAGCGAGAGCGCGGGGCGAGCGATAGAGAGGCACCATGCGCCTAAGTTGTTAATAGCACATTGTTACTTGTAATTAATGTGTATAATTTTTAAGTAAAAAAAAATATTTGTATTAACGAGTACAAATAAATGTTAATTTATCGATAACACCTCCAGGTAAACTTCTAAGAAATTAATTAAATTTCTGAGAAATCTATTGGTAACTGACACGCCGGCGTGTCCGCGGTCGTGGAAATAAAATTGTAATTTTCAATTAACTCCTTCTTTGTATTATACAAAATAATGATAATTCGGTGATAATAACTCAATTCATAAAAGTATGCAATTTTTCAGAAAACCAATTTTTTTTTATAGGTGATCTAGGCCACGTGACCTGTATATCCTCGCCGTCGGTAGAAGAGGGCGATTGCAGGTACTTGCCCAAGGAGGTGTTGCAGGAGGACTTCTCGCACTTGACCAAAGCAGATATATTTGCATTCGGTGAGTTTCTATTGTTTCTGTTTCCGGGATTCCCCGGGTGTGATCCCGTGGGATGGTTCGGTGAAGTGGAGGAGTTAGAATAATGATTGTATGTCAAATTATCTAGATATGTCTAAGCACAAGTCATATTTTATTATATCTTAAATTATATAACCAAAAGGATACTATAGGGTTTTACATTTTTATATGTTAGCTGGTTTAGTTAGAGCCGTTTCAAAGATGTACGAAATTGCACGTTAATATTATAAGATTTTTTATTTATTTCAAAATATAATAGTTAGGTATTTAGTTTATTGTTTTTTTTTTAAATAATTAATATTATTTATCTATTTCGTCCGTAGGTCTGACGTTATTCGAGGCAGGTGGTGGTGGGTCTTTACCGAAGAACGGTCAGAAGTGGCACGACATAAGGGATGGCAAGTTGCCCGACTTACCCAACTTGTCAAGGGAATTCAATCAGCTTTTAAAGGTAAATGGGGTTGAATCAACCGATTTTCGGGATAAACACTGTCCTATGTCCTTCCCAGGGTTTTAAACTATGTTCTTACCAAATTTCATCTAAATCGGTTCAGCAGTTGCGGAGCCTATTCGGAACAAACAAATCTTTCCTCTTTATAATATTAGTATAGAAGTATAGATAACATAATATTTAAACAGAAAATGGTCGACCCGGACCCCAACCAGCGACCCTCCGCCCACCGTCTCAGACGACACCCGCTACTACATCCGGCAGGCAACAAGAGCAAGGCACAGCTGAGGCGGGAGCTCGCTGCCGCCAAGCTGAAGAACGAGCTGCTCTCCAGGAAACTGCAGGAGGCTGCCAGGTGAGGATATGGGTCAATTTGTAAACCGTGGGATATTAGGGTTTAGTGTAGTTAGTGCTACGATGCTGCAGGATTGTTATCCCGTGGGATGTTGGGATAAGTAAGTAATTTTAATGCAGGAGGCAGCTAGATGAAAATAGTTATAGTTAATTTGATATCCCGTGAGATATAGGTGTAAGGTCTAGTTGAGGAGTAAAGTTAGTACCAAATACTGCATTAGGCGACCAGGTGATAATGATGTGGTTAATTTGCTATCCCGTGGGATATTGAAGTAGGATTTAAGCTGAAGAGTGAAGTGAACAATGGAATACTGCAAGAGACGGGCCAAGTGAAGATAATAATATATAAAGTGTTCGTTCATCCGTTCGTACGTTTCAGCCGAAACACGTCCACAGCTGGACATAGGCCTTCTCTAAATATTTCCAGGACAGCCAGTCTTGTGCCATCCCCATCCAGTGGGCTCCAGGGACTTTGAACAAGTCGCCGGCCAACTAGTGTGGGCCTGCCCACGCTTCGCCTTCCGGTATAATATGTTAATTAATACTAGCGACTAACTCTCGCTTCGCTCGGGTTCGTCCGTTTTGATTTTTTTGAGCTAAACCCTAATTATTGTTCTAAAATAAAAGTAGCCTAAGTTACGTCTTATAAGATTAGCTATCTGCCAGAGAAGATTCCGTCAAAATCAATCCAACCGTTTCGGTGATTAACCGAAACAAACAGGCAGACAAAAATGTAAAAAATTGTGTGTTTTCTTATAAGTACTGTATATAATTTCATATGCATTTGTTATTTTGACATTACAAACAAACACTACAATTTTATTTATCTGTATAGATTGTTACGTTATATGAGTTCTGGGATCAGAAATTAAAGCACGTCTTTTGCGCTACTGATGTTTTATTGCTTTTGGTTTACAAAAGTGACTTATACAGATAAATAAAATAAATAAATATGTTGGGACATAAAGACTGAGAGTCTTCACTTAGCCTCGAAATTCAACTGATCTCTCGACACACTGCCGGCCTTTTTATATGCATAAACAAAGAACGTTCTAATATTCGAAAATTCGAAACTTTTCTAGTAATTTCGATTCTTTTTTGGAGAATGTTTTGTTTCTCTCTTACACACTGTAATTTATAATTAACTTTCCTTGTCTGTTAATTGTCATACGTTGACAACTATCTTGGGATGTATAAAGCATGCTCCAGACATGCCATTTTCTGTTATTATTTTTGGTGTAATAACGCTACACACTTCACTATGCTACAATATATTTAATTTTTTATCCCGTGGGATATAAGACTATGGTATAGTTGAGCTGAAGAGTGAAGCCCGAACGCTGCAGGCAGGGCTCGGAAATCCGTTTAATTTTTAACCGGTTTTAGTCATTGAGCCCAAACCGAAAGACTTTTCGGTTTAAGGTTTTAGTTACGTTTTTTAACCGTTTAAATCCGGAAAAACGGTTTTTGACGAATGTAGGTTCCATGAACAAAATTAATCGGTTAAAGTGAGTTTTTGCGTGTTTATATTTGACGCGTCTTTGCTAATGTTGAATGGCTTAGTAGATGTATGCATGCACATTTCTTATTTCTAATTGATGTAACCGGTTTATTTCGGTATCAAAACCGAAATCCAATCTTTCTCTAAAAATAACCGTTAACGATTATTATTTCGGTTTACTAAACCGTTCGTTTTCATTAACCGGTTAATGTACAAGCGATGAATTAACCATTACATTACCGAAATAAACCGTTTTTTCTGGTTTCGTTGGTTCAGAGTCCTGGCTGCGGTCAGGTGACAGATATGTACTGTTAATGTGGGATAAGTAGAGAAATATGTGGTGTGTAGAAAATAGAAGGAGTCTCCCAGGTTAGACAGTCTTAATTATTACGGGTCCCGTGGGATATGGTAACGTTCAGTTGAAAAGGGTATTAGGATTAAATTATATAGGGTATCTTTGTATGGGTATTTTGTTGATTTATTTATGCGAAGGATTGATTTTTTTTTAATTTGGGATTTTTATATAATTCTTTTATTAATAATTTATAGGTTATATCTCATATAAAAGAAGATTGAAGTACTAAAACTTGAAATATTTTTTTAAATGTAAAAAAAACATTTCAGTACTAAAAAAGAATAATTATTTTTAAAATATTTTTGAAATCATTTTTTTAAAATGTGTTTTTTTAAATGTGTCTCACAATATTAAAAAATATTCCAGTACTATAATAAAAATAATTGTCCAAAAAAAAATGAAATCATTTTTTTTAAATGTGACCCAAAATATAAAAAGATTTTTTTCTTTTTTTATTCATTCAAAAAGATTTTTTTTATATTTTTTAAACCTTTTTTTTGAATGCGATTATAAATAAACCTTTTTTTTTTCTTTTCAGATGCATAAAATCGTTAACACCCAATCTTGTAAATCAAGAATCAGCGAAGTTCCGCACGAGATCTGCGAAAAGATTACAAAAACCCAGAGTCGATACGAATATAGTGGAAATGCTACAATCTGTCACATCACCTATAAGAATACGAACGGACAGACGAAAAAAACAGTAAATATACATATATACAATATATATATATATAGTAACTTACTTTCTCATATAAATGGGTTAAATTTGTAATTTTAGAAGAGAAAAGTGAGTAGATTTATATATTTTAAAGTTGCGTCCCGCCGAATTTTCATATTGTTATTGTAATTTATTATTGAAAATTCATTTTTATATTACAAATTAATGTTATATGGCACTCGAGGATGATGTCGGATTCGAACTAGTAGTCCCCGAGATGATACTTTACATGCAAACTTACAAAAATATTCTCTATGTCTCTCTATGTCCGTCATAGAAATTACTAGCGATGAAATGGATAGTTGTTTGGCCGGATACCGGATATCCGGCGAGCTGAAATTTCGGTGGCCGGATATCCGGCGGACGAATTACAAGTCGGTTGTCACGTTGTATGTTGCGATAAGTGCGTATTTAAATAATTATATAATTTTGTATTATTAGCTTCACGGATTTTTTTGTGCAGTCTATTAAAATAAAAAAAGTAATTTTCAAAGATTCGGTATGCGGCCGGATATTGCGTGACTATCTGGTATCCGGCCGGATAGGTAAGACAGGATAGTTCGGATTCCGAATAGTTACCGGATATCCGTTTCACCTCCAGAAACTACCACTTTAAATAATGTTATAATTCAAAATAATGTGACGACTTGCTAATTACATTAAATATTTAATATCTAAAAATGTGTATGGATATAAAATTTGATAAAAGCAAACAGACAGAAATAGTGGCTGTATTTTGTATTATTTTTAACACTTTTAATATAAAACTGTGTGCGTGTAACGTTTACACGCGGTTGAAGTAAAACTTTTTAGGGGCTGTGGCAGTACCGCGATTAAATTAAAACAAATCAAAATATAAACAATATTTTTTATAAAATTATTAGAAACTAGCGACTCACCCTCGCTTCGCTCGGGTCGTCCCTACATTGCTTCCCCATACAAACTTTCATCTCCATTTTCACCCCACCTTAAGGGATGATTTCCGGGATAAAAACAATCCTATGTTCTTCCCAGGGTCTCAAACTATCTTCTTGCTAAATTTCATCTAAATCGGTTCAGCAAATCCAGAGATTACCCTCTACAACGTCGCAAACTCACAATCTTTACTTCCTTATAATATTAATATAGATAAATATTCATTCTTTTTTAAATAACTTGCTACTCACCCTCGCTACGTTTGGGTTCGTCCCTGGGTACGTTTTAAACGGTTATTGGTTCCCATACAAAATAAAACCACCCCTGACACACCCCCAACAAACCAAAAGAAGAATTATTCAAATCGATCCAACCATTTTTGAGTTTTAGCGAGACTAACTATCGACTCGGATTTTTAATCAAATATTAAATATAAATTTGACTCTCACTTCTGCGACATAAGTTTTTCCAAAGTATTGACCCCTCAGTCACGTCTAAAGAAGTTTTACTTCAAAAATATCCTTTTAATTACATAATAGCATATAGTAAGTATAAATGTTATTAGTGTCGCTACACGTTTTTAATCGATTTGGCTGTTAGTGAAAATCGATTTTGAATCTTTTTTTTTTTCTTTATGTGTATCCTAGTATTTTCGTAAAATAAAAACATTATTTTAAGAAAAATATTCAACAAACCAACTCTTATTATAAATAGTTATTATTAATTAGATTTTTCTAATGATATAGTTAAATATGTTCATTTCAATATATATAAAATATGAACTACTAACACAGATTAGATATGAAAATGGTAAATGGAATGATTCTTTAAGGAAAAGCCTTCACCCAGATATAAATACTTGAAAATAAATCTAATTGTATGTAATTGTATATTATGTACTATAATAAAAAACCTTTTTTTTCGTCGTAAATAAAAGTAACTGATAAATCGATATTGAATGAATGAAATCGATTATAAGCGACTCGATAATTTTTTTTATTTTTTTTTTCAATTCTTGTAATTGCCTTTTCTTTCAACAGTCAGCTTTTACCCAAAAGCAATATGCTTGAAAATATGTGCAATGTGTTCACATATTCATATAATCTACAGTCGACCACGGTTTTTTTTCTAATAATTAATAACAATCTAAAATGTAACGAGTAGCATCGTTTTGACGAGACGCCCAACTTTTCTTTCTACGAAAATTTCATAGTTTTATAGATAAAATAGTGGATTGATACGGAACATGTAGAAATGGTGGTTCCTTAAAATTTATTACTAACAGGTTGTTTTACGATTTAACCTCGAGATAATCGAACGTTGAACAAGAAAAAATATTGTCCTACAAAACAGATGATTTGGATCGAATCGTCGCCCTCTCCGAACTTGTTAAAATAACAACGTCATTAAATACATTAATAACCGGCTGATTTTCGTTGTATTTATTATTAAAAATATGCATATTTGAATGGCCACATCTTCCTACAAATAAAATGGTAGGATTTGTCAGTCCTACCGCTCAGATAATGTCTACCGCACGGTGCTTGTTATTAATTAATAAAAACCTTGTTATTAATTAGTAGCGACTCATCGTTTCGCTCGGTTTCGTCCCCGAGCTACTTCCCAATACAAACTTTCATCCCCATTTTCACCCCCTTATGGTATGATTTCCGGGATAAAAACTATCCTATGTCTTTCCCAGGGTCCAAATTTCATCTAAATCGGTTCAGTAAACAAACAAATATTTTCTATTTTTAGTATAGATTGAAAAAACCGTTGGGGACTGTAGACTAATACGTATATAATGAAATTTATTTCTAATTTAAATTAATCTTCATACTGAGTTACATTGATATTCCATTCTCGTATTCAATAAGTGATAAAATAAATAAAATATTCACATCACATTACAAATCAGCTCAATTTTTAAAGTATGAAAGAAAAATATTTGTTATTATTTGAAAAAAGTGGATTGATGATGAAAGATGGATTTTTTTTTAAATAATTGAACAACTCGGACTTGACACGCGAATCTATCGAGTAAAATTTTAAAATTTTTTGTCGCTAGATCAATAATGTTATTATCGGATTGATATTTCTGGTCGATATTTAATGGCCAGTTTCGCCGTAAAATTACATTTACACAAATAAAAATACACTGAATTTTATTATTATTATTATTCGAAAATATTTATTGTTTATAAATTTATTTTAAATTATTTTCATATTTTCTTAGATTTACGCGAATATTTGACGTTTTAGATAAAACTATCTATTCGGATTATTTTTTTTTGCACATATCTAAAACCTTAGTCTCTCCCCTGACCATGATTGCTGTAAAGCATTCGAAACGTCGGGAACCAAAAATCAAAATAAATTATATTTCTAATAAAAACTTTAAAAAATTAAATTTACTTGCACCAAATTTTGTTTAGATTTAAATGTCCCTAATATGGTTATAAGCAAACGTCAAAGTGTACATTTTGTCATTTGCTATTTATACATAAGACATAAAAACAAATCCCATTAAGCATTAATTAATTATATATTAATATTATAAATGCGAAAGTTGGATGGATGGATGTTTGTTACTCAATCTCGCAGGAACGACTGAACGGATTTGGATGAAATTTGGCATAGAGATAGAGAGTCTGGAATAACAAATAACTAACTTTATCCCGGAAAATGTACGGTTCCCGTGGGATAGATATGTTTTTGTTTCTCACAGAGTTTTTCTATTCCATACTAACCGTTAGAGGACGCACCTAACGACGAACCATAAATCCAATCTATATTTATTGTCAACTATACAAAATCAATTTTTGTATTTTACGTACAAACTGACAATTAATATTTTTAAATAATAATATTAAATCAGTGTTGTTTTTTTTTTAATTTTTGTATAAACGCAAATTATTTCCCAAACGTGACTATAAATTACTAAAAGTGCCTTCGAAGTTAATAAATGTGATTTTATATGCTTTTATAACGAATTTACTGTATAAATGTGTGATTAATTGAATTTATAAATACTATGTTGCGGTATCTAAATAGGTTTCAAGTAATTAAAAAAAAACAAACAAAAAAGTATAATATAGATTAAAAATATAATTTCAATTACAATGACATTAAATTAATAGTTTAGTAATTGTATAACCACAGACCTAATTTTTTTTTTTCACTTTTATTGTTCGGTTTGTACTTGAAAAAGTTTACATACCGCAATACAATTAAATAAATCTTCCATTTTCCCCACGATGTGATATTGTTTAAAAAAATAACGTAGTCTATAGGTAAGTATATTGTGGATTCATGATTTTTTGCTATTAAAACTAACCACCATGGACGATAATAGTTTATAATTTATTTAAAAAAAAAGAAATGTCAAATAAAAGTCATGGAAACTCAATAAATGATTTAGATGTTAGGCAGCAAACTATAAATAATAAATGTAATATTTATATTAATCGTAATTTGTATAGGTGTATAAAAAAATTATCGGAAACCAACTCGATTATTCATGATCCATACAAAAAAATATATGAATGGATGGAATAATGAGAAAATATATAATATGTCCACTAGATAGTTATAGATTTATTATTATTTAAGATATGTATGTAATAACAGGGTGTATTGAACGGTTCTTTTAAAAAAAATTACCCCAAACAATTATTATAAATTTAAGTTAGCTTGTTTAGTATTTTTTTTTGTCAAAATTATTCTCATATTAATTGTAAGCTGTTCATCCAATATTGTATTTTCATCCAATTTTCAATTGGATGGTTGACCGGTGTGGATGAACCGACACCGCTTGTAATTTAGTTTCTTTTCTAAAATCTAAGATGTAATCGATTTATTATTAAGTTTTAATAACTATTTCCTTTAATTGTGCCTTCGTTTTTTGTTTTAATTACTGTATTATTTGAACCTCGTTTAACTTTAAAATAAGTTCCGTAGATGACGTTTAGGAAGCCATTTTTGTTTTTATGTGCGATTAAGTAACTAATAACTAAAATATTATATTTAGTTTTTTTTCTGTACATTGATTGAGTCAATTCATACATTTCATTGTTTATTTACATGAATACTGGCATTTTATATAGATTTTTTGAACGTTTCAACGCACAACATACGCACATAATTTATTCAGTGATCTACATATTAATGGTAAATATTTCCATAAAGATATGAATGGTTGTTTGACCTTCCCATCAGAATAGTATAAACCATGGCGTAAAGTCATGGTTTTTGTTTTCCTCCAATAAGGTCATTTAATTTTAGTTTTAAAATATTTATATCCTACTTGGTGGGTTCTCTTAGATGTATGGATAGATCTCATGCTTTCTGTTAAAAAAATAATAATATCTTCTTTATTATTAAATAAATATTGAATGGCTGTATGTGGTTAGGTCAAATCTTTTTTGGTTGATTATAAACTTTATTTAATCTGTATTATTATATTTTTGACAGACTTTCAAATAATATTTAATGGGACGGTTTGAGTTTTATTTAATTTTGTTTGGAAGTCCGCCTTCGTAATATTAGTATTTACTTAAATATTATTTTGTAACTTTGTTCCTATATCTTCCATTGGACTTAATTAATATTTTTTTGTATTTGTATATTGTATTGTATAAATTAATAAAACCAAATATTGTAAGTAAATTCATGAAAAAATTGTTTTTTTTTTTGTTTCTCGATTGTTAGATTTGACCAAAGGGTGAGGGTAGCTGTGAATGTATATTAGCTATTGTAATGAATAAATAAATGTGCTTGTTTCAATTATTTGTTGTTTTATTTCCTTCATGAGATTAGATAATATTAAAACTATTTCCGTCTATTCAATGTTGCACCTAATGCATAATTTTATCATATTTTTTTGTTATGTAATTCCCCTGTCATACATGATTGGGGAATTACTAAACAAAATTAGTGCAATAAAAAGTAAATAAAATCGATCATAATCGATTAATTATTCGCTTTAGTGAAAATAGAAAATTTCTAGATAAAATATGAATGATAGAATGATTTCTAGAAGATAATGGTCATTCTCATGGACTAAAATAGATGAAGCTAATTTATAAACATGAAAACTCGTTTGTAGTATACATTTAATATGTACCTGAGAAGCATAACACTTAACTCCGTTTTTTACGAGTTTGTGTTTCTTATTGTATACTATTTTATGTGTCCTTTTCCTATAATGGCATAATACTGTAGCAAAATTAAATATCTGTTTAATAGATAACTCTAATAGATAGTCAATTTATCATATCATATTAAGACTTTCGGTAAGAAATAAAGAATATGTTGGCGTTTATGATTAATCAAGGAAAAATAGGGGTAATTGAGTTTTTTTAAAGTTCTTATTTACTTACTAGCATTGCCCGCGCTCCTATGACCAAAAACCAAATTCTTAGGTTTACATATTTGTGTACTCTTACATTGCAGTTTTTGTAATTTTTATCAAATTGAAATATTTTCCCGCGGTAAAAAGTATCCTATATGTTGACCCGGATAACCAGCTATCACCATACCAAATTTCATCAAAATCCCTCCAGTGGTTTTTCTGTGATGCGGTAACAGACAGATAGACAGACAGAAAAAAATTCTAAAAACTATAGATTCGGACTCTGTACCTATATTAATGTTTATTTCAATAAGATTTTCCAAAAAAATATTTAATGTACAGATTCGACTTAGTTACAATTTTATTATATGTATAGATATTATGTATACTGTATAGACTATAGATATATAGTATATCTATTTCATACTAACTGTTTAAACGCACCTAATTATACCCGAGCGAATCCAGGTACCTATAGTAAGTCATTAGTAAAGAATAATTATAATATTTATTATCTGAGATTCTGAGGGGGACGGCGCGTACGCAGTCCCCACTACCAAAAATTACGCGTCCGAGTTATCCGCATTAGGGATAATCGCAGAGGTCAACCCAACCGCAGTGCAATGGAAGGGCCTCGCTCTGGGGGAACCGCCTTCTTGATCACGGTGTCCCCTACGCCAGGTAAGTATGCTTTACTGTCCTCAACCTGCCGGTAGTCATTCTTCGCGAGAACATTTTGATAGCGCGATGCAGGAAGTTCGCGAAAATGTATAGCGACATCTAGTGTTGCCTGCGTAAGAATTAGGCGAGTTGAAGTTCTACAGACGTTAGCGCTAATAGATAATATTATAATGGAGTGATATGTCTATAGGTTTAAATGTCATGTGTTGTGATATTTTCATTTATTTTAGTAAAAGAGTTATGTTTTTTAAATTGTCATTAAATCATCACAAAGCACTTAAAATTATCATGTTTTCTTTTCTTTTTATTTTAAAATATTATATTTACGTTCTTAGTATGTTTGTTTTATTTGCTTTTAAATATTATCAATTTAAGTTATTTATAATAACTTTTATAGGATAAACCAATAAGTAATAAAAGGCTAGTCTTTGATTTTACTTTTCTAAAGCCAGAATCTTTTCAGTATATAAATATTATTGATTTATTCAAATGAAACCAAACTTTTTTCGATTAGTCGTTTTCGATAAGCGCTTTCGAATCGTCAATTTAAATAGTGTCAGTGTAGTTAATCTGTTAAACATTTTTTTTGTCTATTTATTTATTTATTTTTATATTTTTATCCATGCATAATATATTTCTGTACCGGACTAAGACGTTAAATTAAGTTAAAAAGAAACCATATTTAATGTAACCCTTTAACTTAATTTTTAAAATTAAACTAATTTTCTCATTAAATAATTCGATCTTCAAAATATAACAATAAATCGATAAAAGTAAATCATTCGTATCTAGTTTAAATAAGCAAGTGACGTGATTTGTTAACAAATTACATCACTTGCTTATTTAAAAGTCAAAACACGCAAATGTCAACCAACAGTGCATTGTGCCTTGAAATTGTTTTAATTTTTATTTATTTCATTAACAAACAAAACATTTCACCTAGTTGAATCAAATTATCGTTAAATGATAATTCACGATGGAAATTATTCGGTGGTTTAAAATAAGCTTATTTCTGTGCTTCCGATACTGTTTGTGTGTAAGAAGTGACGATATTATTTTTCATTACAATAACACGTAAGTTATTATATTGATTTTTAGTTATACAGCATTTAAATAATTGTAATTTACAATACATATTTCTATGACAATAATAAAAATTACAAAAGTTTCTTATTATTATGCAATATATTAAAATTATAATTTATATTAGGCCAAAAGTAGTTAATCTTTTCTTACAATAAAAATATAGATATTTTTGTAGTTAAAAACTGAAATATTTTATATCAAATGTGATTTTAACAACAATATTTAAGGCGTCATTATTTTACAATCAGAATAAAATGGACAATACATATCATATAAATATAGACATATGTCATTCAAAGTCTCATAATAACGGTTCTTTATTGTTAGTTCCATACCAACATGGGCAGCGTGAGAATTATTTCCAGGGGGTGCATCTGTTCTTAAACTACTAACTAATCTTTAAATGATTAACTTCATATCTATTTATCAGCCTTTTTCACAGAAATCTAAATTTAAACGGATTTTACTAATACAATTTTATTTTCTTTCTATATATTTTCCTTCATGGCACCCCCATCCCGGTGCAAATTGTTAATGAAATCTGTTGTGGAGAATAACTCAGAAAAAGCTCACAGCTTTATTTTTATTAAAAAACAATAGAATACATGTAAAATATAATAAAATATTTTCTGCAATATTTTTACTATTTACATGAAAAACATATGATTTGGTTTGTAAAATTTTAATTTTATAAAAAGTATTTGACTTATTAGTTGATATGTAAAAAAACCTCTTCTGATATAATATGATTAATGGACACTTAATGAGTGAACTTATAGTGTATTGACACTTTAATAAATGTGCAAACCAGATAATTTTATTTTATGGATACCAATTATTTCTTAATGTCATGAAGATACTTGTGCTATTTTTAAATTTTATCTATATGTATATACAACAAAGTTGGGTTAGTTACAACACTTATAACTCGAGAACTGCTGGACCGATTTTTATGATCTCTGTTTTGTTGGATTTGTCTTCACCCCGAAAAGCAGAGTAACTATTATAACATCGGAAAAATTCACGAAATAAATTTAAAAAACTATTTGGTAAAGGTAGGAGATAAGGAAGCTTAGTAGCCTAGGTGCTTTATATTAATAGACACATGGAAATGACCTTATTTTTTTTTTATTTTCAGATATAAATACAATGTACCCTATATTGTGGAAGTCAGTAAAACGGCAGAGTATATTATGGAGTTTGCCGGGGTGAGTTCAACGAATTTTGTGTCTTAAGTGTTGCGGATTTAGACTTAGGCCCGTGAGGCTCGGGCCTCGGAGCGGCAAATTTTTTAAGGTGACAAATTAAAAATCGATGGGATTTGTAACCTGTAAAACCAAATCTTAAAGTTTATTTTCTTGCGCTCTTACAATCTAAACATAGTACCATTTTAAGGGTAGAATTTCTTTGTTAAAATAATTAATCTATATATACTATTACAAAAGAAAAAGAGCGCCGAATCGACTTGGGCCTAGGGCGCCATTGAACCTAAATATACTACTGCTTTTAACACATTACTATTTTTGAAAGTTCATATATGTGTTTTAATATTTCTTACTCTACCTGACGGGCTGGACGGATTTAGATGCTATTTAGCATATAGATAGATCTGAATCTGAAGTGATCTGGAGTACCGAGTAACTTATACTACTGTTAGTATGAGTCACGGGGTCTGATCATGAACAAAGAAAAATTCAAATACATGTCACTATTGACATCTCTCATCTATATGACGTTACATGTATCGATTTGTTATTAAAGTTGTGTTAAATTAACAAAAGATTATAAAAAAATACCAAAAAGGTATATTATTGTGTTTCAAAAATATTCTAAGTAAAAGGAAAAGAAATAAAACGGCCGTAAATATAATTTACGTAATTTCAGTGATTATTGAAATATCAGCAATCAGATGATGGGTCTGTAGTGTATATTCACAGCTGGCGCTTTTACTTTTTATAAATTATTTATCTTGATTAAAATTGTTAAAATCAAAGTTTTTTTTTTATTCGAATGCAGGATAAATTTTACAACATTTACCATTCGTTAGTTTGCACATATTTATTGAATAAAATGAATCAGCAACATCTATTATCTATTCAAGCAGACAAAAATAGCCCGAAAATAGCCTAAATTAGTGCTGTCCAATTTCCTTGTATGGGATGAGGCATCTGTACTAGTATAGTACTATGCGATCTGTGGTAATAATAAATTCGTCAATTTGTATATAATTAATATTAGGATGTGTTAACTTAAGTGCTTAATAAAGTATAAGGAAAAGTTATTCAGACTAGGTATTATCTGCGTTAGAATGAATATTTTTTTATTCTAGCAAATTTTTGTTAATTTTGCACAAAAGAACTAATAAGTTACTAATAAACAATGTCCTTCTGACCGATTACGGTCACGGCGGTCTTACCGAGATAGACATTTACATGGGATATTATAGGGCATGCGTGTGCACATAGACTAGGTGATATAAGATAAAGTACTAGCTAAGCTTTACTTATGAATATATTATATTTTTTTAGGATTTACAAGGCTACGACACGCCAGCCAGAGTGACGGTAGCAAGTGATTTCGCCAATCGCACATACCCATTATTTATTACTGCAAGACAGCAAAAAGGTTTGCTGTTAGCTATTTTAATTTTTTTTTATTTGAAGTAAAACCTATACAATTTTTTTTAATATATTTTTGTTTTTTTTTTTGTTTTATTAAAATTTTCTATTTAAGCTTAATTTTATTGGTTTTAGGTGTTTTTTCATGGCAACTACCCATGTTGGTGCAAACACCAGATGCTTTAGAGCAGTTCACTAATATATCTAGAACTCTGTGTCCTCATAACAACATTTTTTCTGAAGATGAAGACACTTGTGGTAAGTATTTTTTTATTTAAATATGTAACTAAAAAAACTTTTTTTTTACTGTTTTATGTATTTTTACCCCATATTTTAATTTATTTATTATTTTTTTATTTTTAAAATGAAATACCGTCAGTGCAAACAAAATGTTCAGTATCTAATTGGCTTCAAGAGTTTGAATTGTCGTTTTTAATAGAAAATCAATCAACGGTACACTTAAAATAAAATGATTTCTTGTGCTAATCTTTTTTTTTTCTGAACTGAAACAAAATTATTATTATTTTTTATTATTTAATTGGATTAATTATAAGCGGTACTTTAAATAAAACTATCTTTTCGGATTATTTCGCGGATTTATTTAGATTTTTGATTCCCGACGTTTCAAATACTTTACAGCGATATACTTTGTTACAGACAGTGCCTAGTCACAATTTTACAAAATGATTTCAAAAATTCAAAAATGGCACCAAAGTACCATATAATATTTGTTGATTTTAATTCTAAGCATTTTAAAAAAATTAATAAGTATTATAATTAAATATAGCAAAATTATTTATTTAATTTTAACTGTTATTATTATAAATATTACATTTTTTTTAAACTTAAATAATTAATAATATTATTATATTCGCGTAAATCTAATAAAGTATTAAAAGCAGTATATTTATTTTATTTACATAAATAATATTGTATGTAATTTTTTACCTAACGTTTATTTTTTTCTTTTGTTCATGCATTCATAGTAAATGAAAGATGGATAAGGGTCTACTGTGGGCCTTTGATGCGTAAATAAATTTTGTATATATATATGTTATTAATTATTAATTTTTTATATTTTTAAGTAAATATAAGTTTTTCATTATATATCATTTTTTATCCCAAAAAACGCATATTTTTTAGCCATTTATTTCATGTACCTTGTATAATTAGATTAAGAAAAAATAAATATCTCTACGTTTTGTTATGAAAAGCTGGGGTCACCTAATTAATACAGGCAAAAACTACTTGCTTAAAAATGGCCCTTCACCACAAATTTTATCAATATCTCTATGCAAATAAAATATTTTATATTTATTTATTTTATTTTTATGCTTATGAAAAAAAAATATTTTTTGTGCTTTTTGTTACAGATATATCGACTCTCAACACACCAATAGTCCATTTAACCTCGTCTTCCCCCGAACCAATAAAAGTTACAATTGTAGTTGAAACAGTACAAGATTTCTATGTAAAGTTAAACTCATATACCAATTTAACTGTCACACCTAGTCAACCCAAGTACTATTTCTACCCATTCGACCAAGGGCCAAATAAAATTGTCGATATAACCACTCAAAGTATTAAAAAGAAATATTTCTGCAATAAAAGTTTGGATTCCAAAGAGAAAGGTACGTTAGCGAGGTATTTTTTGAAGAGTAATCTGGAGACCCACTATGGATGGATGTCGAGACCGAAAAGTGTGATCGTCATGATCGAGTCCGATGACGATATATGCGCTGTTATATCTATACAGAATTTTTCGGTGAGTCATTTAGAAAAAAAAAAATATTTGTGACCTTCATTTTTGATGTAATGCGTATATTATTATATGCGTCTTCTTTTTCTTTTTTTTTTTGTATTGTATGGCTTATTCTCTGAAAAAAAGCTTTAGATATTTATAATATTTATTTTTGTCTTTTTTCAAACTTATTTTATGTGTTACATAGTTTTTTCGAGTAGCTTTTTAACTATTTTTTTTTGAATTATATTTAAATACATTAAATTATTAATAACAAAAATATAATATTATTATTATATTATTCTAGTGCCCAGTATTCGATAATGAAAGAGATATTTTATACGATGGTTATTATTTGACGATGACACGGAGTGGCGGCATCACTTTGACGGTGGGTTTTGTTTATCTGTTATGTTTGACAGTTGACACATATAGTGATGTATAAAATAATCGATTTTTTTGATATCGATTAAATTATTACATTTAATTCCTTTTCAATGTAATGAAAAAAATCGCCATATTTTTAAATATTTTTTTCTAATTATATATTTAATTTTTTTAGCAAGACACATTCCCGTTAGGTTTCTACATAGTTTTTATTGTAAAAACATCGGATGAAGTTTGTACAGGATCTATTGGGTCTAACACCACGTTACCTAAAATGGCCCATTATTTTGGTTGGGAAGAGTCCCACACAGTCAGTGTTGACACTACTGATGGTAGGGTTAAGACGTTTAGGTGAGTGTGGATTTTTATTTTTTTAATAAAAAAAATTGTGTGTGTGTGCGTGCGTGCGTGCGCGCGCGTGTGTGTGTTTGTATATATTTGTTACTTCTTCACGCTAAAAAGGCTGGACAGATTTAGATCAAATTTAGTACACAGATATCACCTGTAGAGAAACGCATAGACTGTTTATAATAAATTGTTAATAAAATTTGTCAAAAGATGGCGCTGTCTGTATATAATATTATACATACAAAATTATAATATTATTCAGATGAAATTTGGACACGTTTGTTACTCAATCACGTCAGAACGCCTGAACGGATCTGTATGAAATTTGGCACAGGTATATATTATAGTCTGGAATGGAATAGCACATAGGTTTTTTATCCCGGTAAAATGTACGGATCCTGTGGGATAGATTTGTTTTTTATTTTTAAATAAATGAAAATACAAAAGGTACCTAGGAACGCTTCCGAGCGAAGCAAGTTCAAATCGCTAGTTTATAATATACATTTTTTTTTCTAACATGATTACCACTTGTCTTAACGATGAAGTATAACATCGTGAGGAAACCTGCATATCTGAGAGAACCTAGCAGGTTCTCGAAAAACATGCTTAGTCCGCCCGCACTTGGCCAGCGTGGTGGACTATGGCCTGATCCCCCTCGTATTGAAGGAGGCCCACTCCCAGCTGTGGGACGTTAAAAATATTACTCAATACATATATTTATTTATTTTTAGATTCAAAGTGATACAAACAATATCGTACCGGGAGTACGCGATAGCGGCGGGTGCTTTGCTGGGCTTCTTCATGGCTTTCTACCTGGTGTTCTTCATAGTGGTATTGGTCCAGTGGAAGCGAGGAACCCTTGATGAGTCTGAAGGTATGCATGGCTTTATAATTATAAATTATGTTATTATAATATTATTTCGTCGTCGTCGTCTCCGCCCAAATACGTCCACTGCTGGACATAGGCCTCCCCCAAAGATTTTCACGATAACCGGTCGTTGCGCGCGGTGCGCCATCCGCATCCAGTGGACTCCAGCGACTTTGACCAAGTCATCGGTCCACCTTGTGGGAGGCCTGCCCACGCTTAATATTATTTATTCAATTCAATTATCTTGTTAATGGCTTCAAAGCGTGCTGAAGCAATGTCACGTAGAATGGAAGAAACACGGTCGGTCACTAATATTATGTTTCGCATTGTAACGGTTTGACAGATTTTAGTGAAATTCAGAATAGAAGTATCTACTATAATATATAGTTCATCTTAATATCTACCACGCGAGTATAACTGCAGGTAAAACTTAGTACGTTTATCAATTTTGATTATCTAATTAAAAAAAAACTTTTTTTATTATTTAAAGCTTTTAAGCTGTAGCCAGTTAGCCAATTTGAGTTTCTATACCAATTAATATATTTTTTCATAACATAAATCCGTGCCCGATATCGGCCATTTTCCATATAGCCCATGGGCGCCCCTGCCATGGTGCCATGAAGTTATATTATAGTATAGAAAAAGTTAAAGAAGTAAAATTGTTTTAGTATAATCGCTGTTTCAATTTAGATATCTGTGATGAACAGGATATGTATGTTTGTAATAATTTATAATGTGTAATCTAGTTAGTGTAAGTGGCGCCGCCGTTCTAATTGGATGTAAAATAAATAAATAAATAAATAAATAAATAAATGAATAAAAACTATAAAGTTAATCATTTAAAAAATAATAGGTTAATGTGAAGGAAGCGGATGCACTCCCCCTGCAAATAATTCTGCCACCGCCCGTATTATAGTCTGTGACACTCGCGTCTCAAGGCGATTCTAATGATGTATAAATCAATAAAAGCAGTTGAGCCTTTAAGAAGTTACGAGGGAACATAGGATCGGATATACATACATACATACAAGTCAAATACATAACCTTTTAGACTTTGTCGCAGTCTTGTAATAAATAAAAGAATCTAAATTGTTTTGTTTCAATTTTTTTTAGTCTGTTGTTTTTTGTGTCTATCGTCTGTAATAAATAGTTCTTTTTTTTTAATTTATAAAACTTTTAAAATAACTTGTATAATCACCAACAAGCCCCGCCGTCCCCTCTTTATTCCAAAATATAATAAAAAAAAATTTCTACATTTTTTTTTATTTTTGTCACAGATAGCTTAATCTCACCCGAAACACCACACGAGAGTGAATCAATACCGACTGTGCGTCGTCGACGAGTCGTCAATGACGGTAGTGGCAGCTCTCAAAGAGTTCGTTCTGAGGGAGGTAAGTAATTCTTAGATTTATAGAAATATTTGGCATTTTATTTATGAAATAAAAATATGAAACAAAAAAACAGTACGGTAGTTTTTCTGGTCATAATTAATAAACCTAAAAAAAGTTAGTGTAAATAATAAATAAACATAACAAACAACGATCACTCCATGTACATATAAATCTTTATAACAATTAATTTCCTTACAAATATCGTAATTTATTTATTTTTTCTTTTTATCCTAAAAACTATTTTACAAAATACCTCCACCGTCTTTACGTATAGAGTTTTTTTTGGTAAATACAGTTTTTTTTGGGTTATACTTTATTTTTTTAATTTTTTAATACTCTTTTTTATCCTTTAAATATTCTTTAATAATATACAATTAATTAATGTGAAAATACCGTATTCTATATTTTTGAACACTACCCTTCTTACTATCTTTAAAAATATAAACATTTTGTTAAACATATTATATTATTTTGTGTCTACATAATATTATAATAGATGTAATATTTGTAATTTTTTTGGTAATAATTTTTTTCTATTTTATATGATTATAATAGGTTTATTTTTTAATCTAAATCACATTCATTTGAATTATATAATGTTTAAACAATTATTAACAGAAAATATATTATTTTATATTTTTTACGCTATCCAAACAATTAAAAAATATAAAGGCAAGTCTCAATCCAACACTGATTCATAGGAGTGTACTATAGATGTAATATTTGTATTTTTTTATTATTTTTTTTTACTTTTTTTGTTTCTTTTTTTTTAAACCAAATTATATTCATTGAAAAAAGACTATAAAAATATTAAATAAAGTTTAATTTAAGTTAAATACAGTATTTTATATATTTTTAACACTATCCAAACATTTTTTTTTCAAATAAACTAAAGGCAGTTCCCAGTCGGACACTGATTCAGAGGTCTCCACAATAGATGACATGGAAAGGGATATGTCCCTCAATGGCGGCAAATTGTGCGTCGCCAACTTGGCTCGGTGAGTGTTTTGACCGACTTTAAAGAGGAGATAATGAATTCGATTTTTTTGTGTGAGTCTGTGTATGTTATGTGATGCCTTTGCTAATTATAAACCGATTTTCATGATTATTTTTGAAGTTATACTTCTTTTGGCACGGTTGGAAAAAATATATATATAGAGTAAAATGTTTACGATGCGTTCGCACACCGACAGCCAAAAAGCGATATGATGAAGTTAGCTGCATTACTTTTACAAACAGAGAGTTGTGACATACGGAATGAAATCTTTAGCTATTTTTGTTCTGTTACGCCAAATAAGTACAACTTCTTACGTGCGTACATAAGTACATACATACGTTTTATTTTAACTCGAAATTGGTGTTATAAAGTTCAAGAATAAAATTTCACCTTTAATGGTGGAAAAATTATTTGTAGAATGTTTTTAGCTGATTTTTAATTAAAATCACTACTATTATAAGTACATAGTTTATGTGTGTATGTTTTTGTTAATCCTTTACGCTAAAACGGCTGGACCGATTTGGATGGTGTTGCACTTGCCCTTGTTATAAGTGTAATTGGATAAAGTTTACTGCCGTCATAAATAAGAAGTTTACAACATCGTCAAAGTTAATTTGGAGATATTTGAAGTTTTCTGTTATCTTAGTACTTAGTAGTAGTTTGTACGTAGTTGCGATGAAAATGGTTATGGTATCTCCCGGATACATAAGACTTAGAGCTTTATAAGACTGTCAAGTATCCGAATCTGCATTTAAATCATTTTTGATCAACTTGTTAGTTAAGGCCTTCTTTATTATGACGGCAGTTTATTTCATTTCACTCAGTGACAGATAATACATAAGGTAATCTATAGTAATATTATAAGAGGTAAAGTTTGTGAATTGTGACTTTGTAACGTTGTAGGGGGTCATCTTTGGATCTACTGAACCGATTTAGATGAAATATGGTAAGAAGATAGTTCGAGATCCTGGGAAGGATATAGGATCCTTTTAATCCTGGAAATCATCCCTTAAGGGAGTGAAAATGGGGATGAAAGTTTGTATGGAGAATCAACCTAGGGACGAACCCGTGCGAAGCGAGGGTAAAGCGCTAGTGTTAGTAATAAAATTTAACTAAATGCTATTTATCTATATATTATACTAGCGATATACTCTCATTCCCTTCGGTTGCTCGCTGCGCTTGAATGGTTCAGGAACCCATAAAAGACAAACAAAGAAAAAAAAAGCTTTTTTTGCGTTGTGAACCTTAGCAAGCGTATACAGAATAACCCAGCGGAGTTTATTAACAATCGAATCAACGGTTTAGGAACGTATAGAGGACAAACATACGAACACCCATTTTTATTTACATATTATATAGATTATAAATACTAAAAACAAAATAAGTAATAAATAAATATGTAAATAGTAAACATGTTTTTCCTACACAGCTGTCGCCCCCGGGTTTTGTCCGCGCGCTCTAAGATGTACTTGTGGAATGTACTAACCGTCGCAGTGTTTTACACACTCCCCGTCATACAGCTAGTTGTTACATATCAACGGGTATGTTGGTTTAAAATGTTTTTTTTTTGTGAAATATTTATTTTGGTATATTTCCGCGAATGTCTCATCTTTTGGATATTTTTTTTTTGGCATTTTTTGCAGGTTTTTTTTTTATTTTTTTGTTCCCAATGCATAACATTTTGGATGTTTCACAGCAAAGTCAAATAAAATCTTATAAAATAGATATTTATTCTTATTTTTTTTTCTTAAATAGCTTTTAATATAAATCAATCAAAAAATCTTGTGTATCTGTTCTAACATATTCAAATTACACAATTTAATGTTATTTTTTTCCATCGACCAGTTGCTAAACCAGTCGGGCAACCAGGACCTTTGCTACTTCAACTTCCTCTGCGCCCACCCGCTCCTGGCGCTCTCGGACTTCAACCACGTGTACTCCAACATCGGGTACGTGCTGCTCGGGTTCCTGTTCCTCATCCAGGTGTGGAGACGACACCAGCAGCATCGAAGGAAAACACCTGAACAGGTTTGATCTTGGCTTGTTTGTTTATTTATATTTTATATTTAGAATCTCCTACAGAAGTACTATAAAAATAAAAATTCATCAAAATTGGTTCAGCAGTTCAGATGTGAAAACACAACAGACAGACAGATCTACTTTCACATTTATAATATTAGAATGTTTGGATTAAATCAGCAATAAAAGCCAAGCATAAAATATTTCCTTCCAGAAAGAACTGGGCATTCCCCAACACTTTGGTCTGCTATACGCGATGGGGATTTCCCTCGTGAGCGAAGGTCTGCTATCGGCCGCGTACCACGTGTGCCCCAACAGCATGAACTTTCAGTTTGGTGAGTATCCCACGGGATTCAAGTATCTATGATAGAAGGGAAACTGGGGAAAGTGAGACTAGGGAAAGAAACTTTGTCCCGAAAAGAGCTTTTTGTCGCTTTAATAATTTTTGTTGTTTTAAAGTAAGATAATTATTACGTTAACCCATCGATCAAAAAAGTAGTATACATAGTTCATTCGCGTTAAGAAAATAGTGAGTCATCGGTATCCACCGGCCTTATAGCCTGTCCCACGACCAATAAGATTGCATAAAATTATAAAGCCATATTTCGCAATGACCTGTTGAAGGCAGATTATATTATTAACTAGCATTGCCCACGGCTCCGCCCGCGTTCAGATGACCAAAAAAGAAATTCTTAGGTTTTACATATCAGTATACTTTTACATTGCAGTTTTTGTATTTTTTTCTGAAAAATTAGATTTTTTCTCGCGGTAAAAAGTATTCTATATGTTGACCCGGATAACCAGCTATCATATACTAAATTTCATCAAAACCTGCAGTGGTTTTTCTGTGATGCGGTAACAGACAGACAGACAGACACAAAAATCCTAAAAACTATAGATTCGGTCTCTGTATCGATAATAATATTTAATTCAATAAGATTTTCCAAAAAATATTTAATGTACATATTCGGCTTAGTTACAATTTTATTATATGTATAGATAAGCATAATTATCTCAAATCAAAATAAAGTCATTATCATCTCAAATATTAAGTTGATTTAGACTCATTAAACTTAATCTTTTGAAATATTGGTGTTCTTTTCGTATCCCCAGACACGTCCTTCATGTACGTGACGTCAGTCCTGTGCATGGTGAAGATATACCAGTCCCGGCATCCCGACATCAACGCGAGGGCGCACGCCACCTTCGGGGTGCTCGCCTTCATTATATTTGTTGGTGAGTGGAGAGGAGGGAGGGAGAGAGGGAGGAGGAGTGAGAAAGGGAAGGGGGGGAGGGTGGAAGAGAGAGATTTAAAAAAAAATTGTTTTTTTTTTCAAATAAAGTAACCTAATTATGTCCAAACCTTTAATAAATATGTTCGGACATTAACACACAGCACCATCTAGTTCCATGGTAAGCTACGAGGCTTGCGTTATGGATATCAGATAGTTGATACACTACACATATATAACTTTATATACATACATATTATAAATATACAACACCCATGACTGGAGTACAAACATTCGTGCTCATCGCACAAATGAATGCCCCCAGCGGGACTCGAACCCGCGATCACTGGCACATCAAGTAGAGTCACTAACTACAAACTGAGCCAAACGTGTCTACAAAACTTATTACTAACTAACAAACAAATAATGTAATCAAATCTTGAAAGACAATTTTTAATCTACTTCGAATTGTCGTATCAAAGTGAAATTTTGAAAGTATATGTAGTTCGAATGACAGTACTAAAATTAATATCTTGGAGCTGATCTGATGATGCTTCTAGGAGGTGGAAGTGGAACTCTTCAGTGGCTACGAGTAAAAGCCTCGAGTTTGGGCTCATGTGGTTCGTCTTCACGAGTGCCAAATATTTCGATTCGTTAAAAGCGTGTATTTTAGGTTTTATTTTTAATTATTTTTTTAGGTTTGGTGGGAGTTCTCAACGCCAACTTTTACTTCTGGGTCGCTTTTACCATTCTTCATTTGGTGACATGTCTCGTGCTCACTTTCCAAATATATTATTTGGGAAGGTTCAGACTGGGTAAGTTTTTTTTTTAATATTATACAATTTTTATAATTCTTTAATCTATTTTGGTATATCTGTTTTCTATTTAAATATATATCTTAACTAGTAGTACTCGCGGGTTCGCCCGCGTTTAATGTACTAAAAAAACAATTTCTTTGACACACCAATTGCAGCGTCACCTATTGGGTCCATTTGTGGATTAAAACTTTACAGGAATCCATTAAAATATAAACACACAAAATTTTATCCAAATCGGTACAGCCCTTTAGGAGGAGTAAGGTGACAAACACACGTACAGAAGAATTATGTATATTAAGATTGGACATATAATCACTAAGCTCTGTGTCGTTGTACCAGTTCTGAGTCGTAGTATTTACTCTCGCTTCGTTTGTGTTTGTTTATCCTAGATACATGTTTTTTTAACATACATATATTATTGTTTTATCTCAAACTATTTAGTTAACACATATTTTTTTATGATGATGAATGTAAAATATTGATTTTCGAGTATTTTCAATCTATCGAACAACACCCCGTCTATACCCCCCCTGCGCAGACGCGGGCGTGCTGTCCCGCGCGGCGCGCGCGCTGTCGGCGCGCGCGCTGGCGGCGGTGGCGCCCACGCACTGCGGCCGCTGCGTGCTGCTCGCGCTCGCCAACCTCGCCAACTGGGGCATCGCCGCCTACGGGTTAGTGCTCTGTACATACATACATACATACATATCATGACTTATATACGTTACTTGACAAATGACTGAAACGCTGTAAAAACGTTTTTATATACTTAACCCGATCCAGACCTCGAACCCAGGACATGATCTGTGGCCGTACATGCTAGGTATAAACCACCGAGTTAGTAAATGTCGTAAACAATCTGAGATGGACATAACATTTTGAACTCTCTCTCCATCTCTCTTCAATCCAACACTAGAAAAACCTCAAAAATGCTCTTAACTGCCAACTAATTTAAATTTATTTTATTTAATAAGGTTTGCTTGTGGTTATTACATGTTTTACAAGAAATTATTTAAGAAAAATAATTAAAATATAGCACAATTATAAATAACCGTTTAAAACCAAACACAACTTGCATATCCTTGTGTTCGTTTTCACAAATAAGAAAATTTTAAAAACATAGTAATTAATATTCTTGACTAGCATTGCCCGCGGCTCAGCCCGCGTCCAGGTGACCAAAAACCAAATTCTTAGGTTTTACATATTAGTATACTCTTACATTACAATTTTTGTATTTTTTCTCAAAAATGAGATATTTTCCCGCGGTAAAAAGTATCCTATATATTGACCCGGATAACCAGCTATCACCATAACAAATTTCATCAAAATCCCTCGAGTGATTTTTCTGTGACGCGGTCACAGACAGACAGGCAAAAATTCTAAAAACTATAGGTTCGGCCTCTGTATCGATAATAATGTTTATTTCAATAAGATTTTCCAAAAAATATCTAATGTGCAGATTCGGCTTAGTTACAATTTTATTATATGTATAGATTAATCATTAGCTTAACATAAACTAATTTTAATAAAACAAAGTGATAAACACTTCTTAAAAAACATAACACCTCGTCTTATGGCCTTTACTGGTGATAGGAGGGCTGACTCGTTCTTCGCCCAAAGACTTGGCATTGCCATACAACGGGGGAATGCGGCTAGCATATTATCTTACATAACTTGAACAGTAATAATTAAATGTACATTTGTTTTGTATATGTAATTAAGTAACTTTGAAATTTTAATCAAAATCGATCTAGCTTTTTGTTTTTTTTTCCAGCGTAACCCAACACAGCAAAGATTTCGCCTCTCACTTGCTTATGATCTTGATGAGCAACCTGTTTCTGTACACGTTGTTCTATATCGCCATGAAGTTGTTGCACAGGGAGAGTATACGTTGGTACTGGTGAGTATCCCGCGGGATTCATAATAAATAAATATGTTGGGACATTAACACACATCACCATCTAGTTCCATGGTAACTACGAGGCCTGTGTTATGGATACCAGATAGTTGATACACTACACATATATAACTTTAAATACATACATATTATAATTATAAGCACCCATGACTCGAGTACAACATTCGTGTTCATTACATAAATTAATGCCCTCAGCGGAACTCGATCCCGCGACCACTGACACAGCAAATAGGGTCGCTACAAACTGAGCCAAACCTGTCATCAAGTCAAATATTTATAAAGTAGTTAATTAACAGTTAAGTTGACTAAATTTTGTGTTTCAACTCGTCCACAGCTGGGTGTTCATATTCCTGACATACACTCTGTGGTTCATCGCCGGATACTTTTATCTCGACTACAACACTAATTGGGCGGTGAGATATTTTTTTTGATATCTAACTATAATTATATTTAAAAAAATTAAATCGAATGCTTTAATTGAATCGTTATAAAATAACTTTAATTGAGATTAAATTGAATTTAATTGATAAAAAGCTATATAAATCATACTTTCTTAAGACTTATATAATGATTATTACCGATAATGATACATAAACATGCGAAATAAAACTAATCAATCCAATCCCGGGATCCCCAGGAGTCGCCGGCTCAATCCCGGCGTCTTAACCGCGCGTGCCTCCTGCAGCTGTACGACGCGCACGACGCGTGGCACGCACTCTCCGCCGCCGCCATGTGCTGCTCTCTGCTCGTTTACCTCTCTCTGGATGATAATCTCTCCGGAATCCCGCGGAGAAAGATCGCCGTGTTCTAGTTATAGTGAAGCGATAATAGTGTCACTGTGATAGTGTTATAGTTGATGGTGATAGTGAAGCAGGAATAGTGATATTGTGACCGTGATGGTGTTATAGTGATACAATCCCAATCTTATGATAGTGATAGCAACATTATGATGGACATCCAGAAGTGTGGCAGGTTAGTATTGTAATGAATTATAGTGAGGCAGCGGTGTGATGATAGTGACACTAGCTGTCATAGTGATAATGATATAAAGTGACTGCACTATGATGACATTATTATATTTATATTAGTTAAAAAATAACTTAGCTTCCATATACTTTTCATTTTTCCATCTAAAATTAATAGTATATTACTTCTGTTTAAGAAAAAGTCAGTGTAATTTTACCGAATCACATATATTTTTTACCAATTAAAATTCTACTCCAACTTATATGTAATATAGATAATAGTATATGTTACCAAATGAAATGTGATGTTGATGAAAAGTAATTAATTTTATAAATGTATATATATATATCTGTTATATGTATGTATAATAGTATAACTGCCTCGGTGGTGTAGCGGCTAGCATGTACGGCTGCACACCTGGAGGTCCTGGGTTCGAGTCCCGGGTCGGGCCAAGTTTAGTTATTGAGTCTTTCTGTATAGAAAGACTCAGTAATAGCCCGGAGTTGGGAAGTTGGCGGTGTTTCACCCCCGTGCCTCGGAGAGCACGTAAAGCTGTCGGTCCTGCGCCTTATCTCTCACCGGTCGTGTCGAGTAGTCGTCCCATCGGAGTATGAGAGTGACAGGAATAGAGAGTGCACTTGTGTCTGCGCGTACACTTGAGCACTATAATATCTCCTGCGCAGTTGGCTAGTCTCAATGAGATTGGCCGCCGTGGCCGGAATCGGTCAGGAGAACATCATCAGTATCAATATATATACAACACGTTTGGCTCAGTTTCTAGTGACCCTGCTTGCTGTGCCAACGGTCGCGGGTTCGAGTCCCGCTTGGGGCATTCATTTGTGTGATGAGCACGAATGTTTGTACTCCAGTCATGGGTGTTTATATGTATAATATGTATGTATTTAAAGTGATATATGTGTAGTGTATCTACTGTCTGGTATCCATAACACAAGCCTCGTAGCTTACCATGGAATTAGATGGTGATGTGTGTTAATGTACCAACATATTTATTTATTATATGGTGCTGCATGATATATTATGTTTTATTATGAATTAAATTAAATAATAAATTAATTATTCTGCTTTTATATTACTTTGCTTAAGCCAGTACTGAACAAAGATTGTCGTTATAAAAAAGTTTCCTATTCATGATGAATTTTTCTTATAAGTTAGATTAAATTATTTTGTTTATATTTGTCACACTGACAGACTACCGAAATATACAGACGGAGTCCGCCAAAATAAATGTCAAACTCAAAAATAGTAGTGTGATTTGTTTGATTGTCGATTTTTCTATACAGATTGTTTGTTTTCTTTAAATAATTAGGGATGTTTTATATATGTATTAGTTAAGTTAATTTTCAAATGAGAAATTTTGAAAATAAAATATGAGTTATTATAAAAATAATGCTATATTCTTTTATATTATTTAATTAAGCATTCATTTTCTTTAATGAGCTTGTTTTTTTTCTTTATTAAAATAAAATCCGACAGCTATTTTTATTTATTAATATTTATTTACTAATCACTCTGTATACAAATTGTTATTTGTATACTATTTTTAAACTTTATTGTTCGCCTTTACTTTTAATTCTATGACATTCTGTCTGTATTATTTCTAAGTCTGACATATTTGTATAGTCTGTGGTTGAATTACAGTTAATTTTGCTTGTGAAATGATGTAGAATTTTTGTAATGGAAGATTTGAGCATATTTCAAAGGTTTAAGTTAACTTTTATTTTATCTTTGTGTTTAAATATACAATTAAATTACAAGATTAATTTTCCATGTTATTGTACTACAGCACTTCATAAATTATGTATATATTAAATCATTCAAGACATTATATTGATATTTTTATATATATTATTTTTTAATCTTATTTTGTTTTTCTTTTGTAAAGTACATTATGTCATTTATTTCTTAGTTAAAACATTAAAACCAAAGAAATGGTGAAGCGAGTGCTTATAATAAAAAAAATTAGAAAATTATTATTATTTACTCACTCTTGCTATTTAAATATAGACGATAATATAAGCAATAAAATGCCTTAAGATTAATAAAAAGAAAATACACATGTTTTAAAAAAAGAAGTTTTATATAGAATTTATTGTATTTGTTTTCAATAATATTTAAATATTGCTTTCTAAGATCTACATAATTATGGTGCTTTTTCTTAGTTTTGAAACGTTTAGAACACTAAGAAAGAAACGAAACATAAGATTAGTTTTTTTTTAATTTTAATCTGTATAATAAAAAATATATGTACTTTGTAACCAAACCAGAACAATTTTATTTAAAAACAAACTTATGACAGAGTCTAAATATTACTCATTGGCTTTATATTATTGGAATTATATAATACCTAAGGCTATGTGATTTGAAAAAGTTGTTAATATTTTATTAGTCTGTAAATAAATAGCTTTTATATGAACTTCTTGTTTTATTTTTTACTTACAAACTACAAACATTGTGTAAAACTTATTAATAATAAATGCAAAAGTTTTTTTTTGGGTTTTCTTCTCAAGCAGCCATGAAACAACTTTTCGATGTGGTTTTTTTCTTAGTAATGTCTTGCTGAGCGTTTTCGGCCACGGCGACCACACTGAGACACCCACATGCAAGAGATATTATAGTGCACAGCACAAGTGCAGGGATGTGAAAAAATATTCGATTTTTATATCAATCGATTATTTTTTCTTATAATCGATTTTAATAATCGATTCTTTAAGTATTAAAAATCGATTTTTAATGAATCGATTATGCTAATGCAATATTTCGATAAAATCTATAATTTTTAGTTAATCGATTTTTTCCAAATCGATTTCTTTTAAAGAGAGAAATATCGATTATTTAGTAGTTAGTAAGCGATTTTTTTCCCTCCCAAGTGACATCCCTACACAAGTGCACGTTGTGTCTGCACAACATGCACTCTATTCCTGTCACTCTCATACTCCGGTGGGACGATACTTTTGCTTAGAGATAGTATATAAGTCGTAGACCGCCTTATGTGAGTTTACTCTGGTACATGGTGGTGTTTTACAGCTTATTACTCTGTCATAAAATAGTTTCTAAAGCGAATCAGAAATATAATTTAAATATGTTGATTAAATCAGTCCGTACTTTTTGTAGAAGTTACCTGGAAATTAAATTCAAATAGAAGATATCAAGAGAAACACGACAATAAATTGCTTCGGTGGTGCAGTGGCTAGCATCCGGAGGTAGTTACTGGGTTCGAGTCCCGGGTTGGTAATTTATACAAACTCATTAAAATCAAATCTCAGTAGGCGAAGATGCCGTATAACTATATACAATATAATATCGAAAGAAATTTCTTGTCTAAGCTGAATAAAAAAACAACTGAAAGTCGATAATCGAATGTTGCACATTTTTTAAAAGAAGAACTACGTAGGTACCATGTGAAAAAAGTTTCACTCAAAAATCTCAAACCATGAAGGTTCTATGTCAATTCGAAGTATTACAATAAAACGGCAATTTCATACTTTAACTCCTATTATTAAACATAAATAACAAATCGACAAAGCTATCTATTTCTATTTATATATATATTTATTCTTCTTGATGAAACTCCATTTTGTTAGTTTTAAGGTTTATTAAAAAAAATAGATATTCACAAAGAACTCAAACTATGAGTAGAAAAATTGTTTGTTTCTCTTCAAAATTCGGACTTTAAAGACATAATATTTATAATTTAAAACCTTATATAAAAATAGGTAAAAATAAAAATACATAAATCAATAATACCGTTTTTATTGTATAATCAATGTCTACGCTAGGTTACAAGCCAGGGTCGAACATACAGACATACAGCGGGCCTTCCGAGGCGCTTAAAGCTCACTTTATATAACACGCGGCTGCTTTTGGTTCAAAAAAAATAACAGAAAATATACTGTAAATGTTAGAGACTGACCTTTCAATTATCATATAGAAGTATAAGAAAACAAATTTAAAAATTACAATTTTCTATATAAAATAGTTTAATTATACCACTTTTAAATTCAATCAGGTTATCTTAATATATACAAGTTTTCTGTACGTGTGTTTGTTAACTTACTCCTCCTAAAGGACTGGACCGATTTCGATGAAATTTTGTGTGTATAATTCAATGGGCTCCTGGATGGTTTGAAAATACAATTGGACCCGGTAGGTGGCGCTGCAGTCGGTGTGCCACTGATCATCTAAACGGCAGGGACGATTTTAATGATATTTTTTGTGTATGTTCGAGTGTGTCCCTGCAAGGTTTGTATTTACAAATGATTCCGGTAGGTGGCGCTGAAATTGGCGTGTCACTAAATTTTCATAAAAGACTATTTTACGAGCAATAAATACATTTAAATTGTTAATTAAATAAAATAAAAATTGATGTATGTATGTATGTTTCCTATGGACTCCAAAACAGCTGGAGCGATTTTGATGAAATTTTCATGTAATCTTCAGATTATCCCAGCGGGTGATCCTGTGAATTCCGCGGGCGAAGTCGCGGGTACTGCTAGTAATGTATATAACTCTAACCAGATTGAATTTAAAAATGGCATAATTAAACTGATTTATTTATAAAACTATCATTTTTTATTTATTCATTTATAATTGAAGAGATATATGATAATTGAATAATCAACTCTAAATTAAATAAAAGAAAAAAAGACCATAAGTGTGGTCCCAGCATTATGTCAAAAATGTAACAGATAACTAAAGTTTTATAGAAAAAAAGAAATAAACAAGTTATAATGAAAACACATTCCTCCCCAAACGCAGCCTACAGCCGGACAGAGTTACATCATTCACAATACCTATGTATATTACAAGGAAAATGGATATATGTTGTATAGATATTAATGTATATCAAATTACATGCTTTAGACGACAAATTAAAAAAACCGTGTGAAATATTTCAAACGAACAAACAATACAATATACATTAATATCTTACGTATAATAAGTTATATTTCAATTCCGATATCCATACAATTATTTAAATTTACAAAATGCAGGAAGATATAGTCGTTTTTGGCAGAACCAGTCTGTTAGAATGGAAGAGCGAAATGATTTTATTAATAGCAACACTAGAATCCCGACCAACATCGGCCATGGCGGCCAATCTCACTGAGACCAGCGAGATGTAGGAGATATTATACACTATAGTGCAGGCAAAAACGTGCACTCTCTATCCCTGTCACTCTCACACTCCGGTAACAACACACCACTAGCTTCCCAACTCTCGGCTATTAATGGGAATTTCTTGATCGAAAAACCTTACTATACTTGGCTTGATCCTTAATTCAAACCCGCCCTGGGTTTTAATTTCACTTTATCTCCATTTTAGTCGCTGTGGGAGTGGCTTAAGCTAGTTTATATCCCAGTATATAGTGGGATTATTTTATTTTTTGAAGAAAATAGAGAATTTTATGTAGAATGTATTAAATGAAAATCTATATAAATTTAAATATGCGTGTGTTCGTAATTTTTTTCTTCCTAAACGGCTTGACTGATTTTGATGATATTTTTGTAATATTCCAAGTCCGCTAGTTATATGTAAAATGAGAACTTTGAACCTGGCGTTTTCGCGAAATTTCACTGGGCTGGCTACCAATAAAACCATTTCACTATAATTGTCATAAAATACAAGAAAAGATTTAAAAAGATCTAACCTTTTATATAGGAATAATGACATTTCGAAAAACTATTTGTTTCTTCATTTTCAATACCGGTTTATTTGAGTTGAAAAATTGTTAAAAATAACTATTTAAAAATACAAAAAAAAATTAATTAATAATAATTTTTTACACAAAAAATAAACTGTTTATTTTTATATTTTTTTATTTTGTGTGACGTCACAAACAAACCGGTAGTAACAATGAAGGAAACACTCTATGAGAGTTGAAAAAATGAGTTTCTATATCAATTCACTTTATTGTCTTTATTATTTTATTTATACAATAAAACAATCCTCAAATATTTACGTCGTAAATTCTAATTTTTGATTATTTTTAATCTATGAGAATTTTTTACAGATTCAAAATGCAATTTATCATATTATAAATTTTAAGGCATACTCTTGATTTTTATTTACAGAGGTTTTTTTTTGATTTGTATAAACAAATATTTGAAAAAAAAAAAACAACTAATATCTCTCTATGCATGTAATAATAAATGCACTCTTCCAATATGGCAACATTCCATATTCACATTTTTTTTTAAATTATAAAAACCAAATTGCAAGATTATTATTATTTTTTTAATTTACCCTTTTCTGAAATAATTGCAATAAACATTTATTGATTATAAAAAAAACCCGCAACTATCAAAAACTATTTCTATTTAGAAAAAAAAAGAATATTGTAAAATACTTATTTTTGTGAATTTGCGTATTTTTTCATAGAGTATTAAATATTTTAATTTTAACGACATGAACAAAACTGTTTTTCTTTTTTTTTATAACAATTAAATCAAAACTGGCACTTTATTTTACATAAGTTTAAAAAATATATTTTTCATGTTTTAATTTAACACAATTAAGATAACAACAAAAAATATTGCAAGTCTCCTTTAAAAGACTACCGTCTAGTACTTGTTTTAAAGACTTGAAAAAACTGTAGAGATTCCAGTAAAAATCAATATATTTCACAGATAAAATAATTATTAATAAAAAAATAATAATACTAGTCCTTTGTGTGATGATTGATTTGAGGTTTTTTAAAAAAAATACTGCACGGTAAAAAAAAGCTGATATTAAAGTCATAGAGACGAAATTATTATTTTTTAATTTATGCTTTATGACATTTTTCGTCTGATTGATATATTATTAAAATGTCACTTTCTTATTAAATTCCAAAAAAAAATATATAGTACAGTATTTTTTCTGGTCATAATTAATAAACCTAAAAAAAGTTAAAGTAAATAATAAATAAATATAACAAACAACGATCACTCCATGTTACACACCTTTGCCACAGTCTACTAATCCATACAGTCTAACGAAAGCGTCTAGACAGGGCGCACCCGACTGGCATACTTACTTTTATATGTCAGTCGGGAGACAGCTGTAGGGTTGTCTGTAACTTGATATTCCATTTTGGTAGAATTGATTTTTTTTGACAACCCTAGCATTTGGGAGCATTTCCGTCTAAAATATACTGTATGTATTTTTATACTGTGCCTTTAGTCACTTATCACCAAAACTAACTATTAATTAGTGAGATTTTAATCGAAATTAGGCTTTGTATTTGTAAACGTTACTTATTTTCATATATTGAAGCAAAATATATCTACATATCTCGCTTTAAATAAACGTTAATACGTATATTTGTTTTAATTTTTCATTTATGAATGCAATGTAAATAAAAAAAATACACCAAAAATTAAATTAAAAAATAAATTAAAAATATTATAGTCAAAACGAGATTTTAATAAACGTTTCGAGAATCCGTTATCGTTGCTGTGGTATCTTAAAAAAATGTATAAGAAAAAAAAATAACAACCATACATTATAATACAGATAATACCGTTATTTGCTCAATCAAGATTTCTCAGTCAATACTTTATTTTTTATTTAAAAACTTATAAATTCCGTTATAAATGTAAATTTAATTTAATTTTTCATAATATTATTATTTAAATATATGAAAAATATTTGACGATTTAGCTCCAAAGTAATAGCTTTACAGCAAACGCCTGCATATTTAATAACACGTGAAACGTAGCGTTTTAATCTTACAATATTATATATTTGCCATATCAAAGTGTCTTGATCCCCTCGTATTGAAGGGAGGTCTGTGCCCAGCAGTGGGACGTTAATAAAAAGGACTGAATCCATATCAAAGTGCTATATAAAAAAAAACTTTAAAAAATAATCATTTCACTAGATGTGATGGCATTTTTTTTTCGAGTGTGAAAAAATCACTACAATTTTTGTAGTTTTTTTTAATATTTACTAATTGTATCGTCACAGATTCGAGTCTCATTAGAAATAAATATAATAAATATCGTCCATACAAACTTTTCTCACGTCATGTGAACTGAGAGTAGTTAAAAGTGTATACTGTATCACATTTTAATACGTAATAAGTTTTGTGCTAAATATTTTCAAATATGTCTATCAATTTTATACTTTGTATTTATGACCAATTAAAATTACATGTCAAAAAATAAATTATATTGAAAATCGAACTCGCGACCTTTGATTATAATTAAAAAAATGTGCTCATATTTTCAGTAATAATATTTTACAGCAAATATATAATATAGCAACACTGACAAGCAAACTTAGAAATGAAAACAACAATTTTTAAATAATTTAAAGCGTTCGATTACTTTCCGCATTCGGAACGGGATAACGATTAAGTTACGTTATAACGGCATCAGTAACGAATGTTACCCGTTATTTTAATCGATATTACGATATTAACGGGTGACTCGTTACGACGAGTCTAATGTCAACCGTTGTTTTGTGATTTCTGCTCGAAAATGGCGGCCATGTCGCGTATGTTGTATGACGGTGACACTTTTTCTCTCCTGTCAAAAAAATCTTATTTGTAAATAAATGTTGAGAAGTATGAAATACAAAAAATTGGTTTATATGAAAAAAATAATAATTTTGTATTTTCTAAGTACTTCTAGAAGTCAATCGAAATAAGTACAGTAAAATAAAGTTTACAACTTCATTTTAATTTAAATGCATAAGTAGTACGAGTAAAACTAAAAAAAAACATACCCAAAAAGGTCCAAAACAAAAAAAAACAATATTTAAACCATCTACTTTTAACTATTAGGTAGTAAATTAAAAAAAAAATGAACAAAAAACCAAATTAGTGAAGCTCGAATGATTTGAAATTTTACAAAATGACATGTTATTTGATGGTTTGGCCAAAAACGATACACACCTGTCATCCCGGGATTCACTTGCTTCTCCGTTCCTTGGCAATCCCTCGGGACTAATCGGAGACGGGATTGTGTCTAGATTATTCGCACTTCTAGCTAATGAAAACCTCATTCTTTGCCCTAAATCCACTGTATTTCTCCTTTCGAATTTGGGCAAATCTTCTTTCAATCTGTCACAGTCTTTATCTTCTTTTTTTAACTTGATCCTCGTCAATTGTTCTGGGTTACTTCTGAATGACTGCGAACTGTATTTCTCTCGCAGAAAATTTCTACGTTCCTCTTTATATTTCTCTATGCGCTCGCGACTCAATTTTTTCTCAGTATCAAAACCTATGAGATTCTTTAAATCCGTCGGCTTTTTAGTGTCGAATCTTTGGATTAGTGACAGTTTATTCTCTGTGGTCGGAGTTATGCTTTCTAATTTGATTTCCGGTTCTTCCATATTTAAATTGAGATCCGGTAAATATTTAGATTGACGTTTAACGTCTTTCACTTCAAGACTTTTCCGTCTGTTTTTGTCGTTACCAAATTCCTTGATAAACGCATTCTCGTCCAGCGATCTAGCGTTGGAATTTTTAGATAATTTGTACGTTTTTGGTGAAATTGGCGGTGGTTTAGAGTCTTTTTTTCTATCTGTGTCGTCATGTCGCTCTAAAGACGGATATTTGACATCAGTTTTAAATTTCTCAAAAGTAAACGGTCCTTTTTGCTCTGTGGGACTCTCAAAACGTATTGCTAATTCGCGTACATTAATATTTTTGGTTGTGTTAGGTTTTATGACGTTACCGTTTTCTTTTTCAATATTTTCCTTACTTATTTCTACTGTATCACAGATTTTAAGAGTATCAACGTTTATATTTTCGTAATCGCGTTGACTTTCAAACGGCACGTTCTCGTATTCCGTCTCACATTCTTTCTCGGGAGTTTCTAGGATCATCGCATTGACTTCCTCTATGCTTTTCCTGAAGAATTTTACTTGACTGTACACGTCTACATTGTCTATGGTTGATTCTGTTGGTGTTTCTAGTATGATTAGGTCCTGATTGAAATCTTCAGGTTGGCAGGCCTGTTGGGTTGGTAGGCTTGCATCAGTTTGTGGTATTGACGCGTCCTCAACTATAGACAAATTTTTTTCGAGATCAATATCCTCATACACCGAATCCCTTTCATTTGTAGGCGTGTCTATATTGCCTATGGGCTCGTAATCTGGCGTTTTAACTCTAACCGGTGACCGGAATGTAATACTTATAGTGGATTTTAGTGGACTTTTTAAAGGAGATGCGGGAGAACTTTTGGACGTGCTCGAAGACAAATTTATATAATTTGGCCGTGTAAAATTGTAGCATTCATACAATTCGTCCTGTTTGAAACTGACATTGGAGTAGCTGGACGAACTTTCGTGCGATGACGTCATAACCTTCAAATCATCTTTTTTATGGGAATGATGGTCCGAATTCGATGAAGTCGACACTGCTGATAGCCTATTTAAATTTTGGTAGCTTATATCGGTCGAATGTAAAGGACTGGCATCCAAACTATCGTGTAGGTTAGGTTCAGAATAATCGTGAGACAAATCTTTCATATTTTCATAATCTGTTGCCTTCAATTCGCATTTCAAACATTTCTCTTCATCACAATTATTGCAATCGTTGCTTTTGATCGTTATTGTGTGTTTGTTATCACTAACTTCCGAATCACTTTCAAGCGGGTCATATACAGGCGTGACGGGGGTCAGCGGGTTCGAATTTATTGTACTACTTGTCAGATTACTTAAAGACGAATTTTCCGCCGGCCAATCTATTTTGATGAGAGTTGAATGTCCGTCTTTACCATGCCATGTTAACCTCGAAACGTTTTGTTTTTCAGGGTCAGTTAAAACCGGATGGTGCATACCACTATATCGTGAAGAATTTTTTTGTTTTCTCGGCGAATTTCGTTCTCTGCAAGTTAGTGGGGGTGATATTTAGTATGGTTAAAGTGGGGTGTTTTAGGTTTTGGATTACCTTGAATTTGATCGGTGATAGTATAGTGTATCTGACTATCCTGGAAACATAACGTGTGTGTTTATCTTGTCGATATTTCTCTTGTAATTGAATGGAAAATATCGTATTTTGTTGTTATTTATTACATATTAAAATGGAACTTTTTTAATTATCTCTATTTCGAGTTTTTTTAAAGTTTAGAATTAAATATTCAGTTGATAAACAAAACTGCATACATACATGTCTAGTGTAACAAAGCATATAATATGAATTTAAAAAGTGCATGACTTTGGATGTACATAACAGGTATAGGTATATGTTTGATTATTTGTAAAATTGTAAAATATAGGTTAAAAAATGCATTCCATACTGGATCACAGATAAAATATATTCACTAAACACCCGGAGGAGATTTAAACAATTATTAAACATAAAAAAAACAACATCTAATAATAAAATAGAAAATCGATATACAAAAACATCAGACACACAAAAAAACATCAGACACACAATTAACGTCTCAAAAGTGACCCTAAAAAGATTTTTTTTTCAAATCACTTTTGTACATTGCTTTTCGGACGACAAAATTAAAACGCACGTTGTTTCGTTTAAAAAAGTACTTAATGTGGTGTGCGTAACTTCGAATTTGTGTTTAGACAATTGGAACTTTCGATTTTTAAATTTTATTCTTTTGTTTGACTTAACGTCACATGTCGACGCCACTTTTTGATGAGATATTTGTTAGGAAATGTGTATCTATGTTTTTATATATCAATGTAGAAAACAAACAGACTATACTTAGAACTATGTCATAGTACACCACTGTTTCTAATCTAATGTTTAAGGAAAATACATACAAAAGTCAAATCATACTCTCTATAATCAAGAGCGAGCTAAATAATTGTATTGAGAACATTAACACCTCTAGGTAGATTTCTGAGAAATTAATTAAATTTCTAAGAAATCTATTGTTAACTGCAACGCCGGCGTGTCCGCGGTCGTGGAGGGATTAATTACATTTTAATAAAAAACACATCACCCTCCTTTGCGTCGCGCAGTCGGGTAATAAGCCACGTTATCTATCTCACGGACTTACACACTGACATTTAATTTAAATTTAAAAATGTACAAGTGACGATTCAATAGTGCTTGTAAAAGTCTGTATGATTAAGTTATATTTAGATTGTTTGATATTAAAAAGACACAATTCAAAATATCGATAATAATTTGGTCAATTACTTGAATTATTTAGCTTACTTTATTGCTAACATCAAGAAAAAATACTAAAATAACGAGATCTTCAGTGCAAAAGTGACCCAACTCCCTACATATACATACACACATATATGATATAAATAAAGCGTCACGTCTGTGTTTGTTCTGGTTAATCTTCAAAACTACTGTACCGTTTTCGTATAGTTTTCGTCAAGAGATAGAGGGATTATCTAAGAAGATTGTAAGCCATAATTTATGATATTTTTCGAAAATAATCTGCCAGTATGAAGATGTTTAGATAATAGTAGCTCAGTGGTAACGCGCTCGCTTGGGAAACCGACTGAAGCGGGTTCAAATCCCGGGTCGCGCACCTCTGATATTCTCATGTGCGAATCATTTCCCAACACGATCACCACTTGTCTTACGATGAAGGAAAACATCGTGAGGAAACCTGCATGTTTGAGATAACATACAGGTTATATCGAAAGACATGCTCAGTCGGCCATCACAACAGCCCGTTAGTTTGAACATATTTATGAAATAAAAGTTTAACTATTTACGAATCAACGACACCTATTATCTATTCAGGCAAACAAAAATAGCCCGAATTAGCGCTGTCCAATTGCTTTGTATGGGATGAGGCATCTGTACTAGTATAGTGTTATGTGATCTGTGGTACGAGTAATACATATAGTCAGGTCACTTTTGCGCTGATGTCCTCGTATAATAACAATATAATTACCTGAGTTTCACATTTGTAAGTGACGTGTGAAAGTCGGACGTCGAGGACGAAGGGCTGTCCCGGTCTTTGCATATTCTGTAGAAAAAAAAAACTTATGAACTATAATAATGGGAAAATAAAACATCGTAATATTGAATGTAACTGCCATTGAAAAGTTCCACAATCCAGTTCCTCTTGGACACTTCTGGTCCCTGTATTGTCGTCTGGGTTTTAATTTTTTTTTGACTTCCAACACATACATACACGTACACACACGCATACGCATACACACACATACGCACACACAAACACACACACACATGTAAGCACACGTATACACGCACACACGCGTCTTGGGGGAGTCTTTCGCTAATAACCCTGTGTATTATTCCATCCAGGTCTTATATGATCATAGTCTATCTGTGTAATGTCCGTCTGTGTATTCTACCTAATGTCTATCCGCCTGTCCAAAAAAAAAATTGGTGCCATTATTTTTTTCTAATTTTGTTTTTATATATTTTTTGCAGAAAAAATTCGTTAGAAAATTAAATATTTTATTGAGGTATGTTTTACTAAAATTACAAATCGAATGAAGTATATGAATCGATTAAATAAAAAAATATTCTTCCTATGTACCGATGTCAGTACCACTTACAGTATCAGCGTCACCTACCACTAGTCTTGTCAGTGTAGGAATTTTCACATGTAAGATTGGGACTATTTAACAAAAAAATTTTGGTAGGTTTAAAAATAAATAGATAATTTTAACACCTCCAGGTAAATTTCTAAGTAATTAATTAAATTTCTAAGAAATCTATTGTTAACTGTAACGCCGGCGTGTCTTTTACGAAAACTACCTTAATAATTCTCAATTCTGTACTCTTGAAAAAAAACACCTTTTTTTGCAACACCACTGCCTGTCTGTCTGTCTGTCTGTGTGTGTGTCTGTGTGTGTGGTACCTCTTGGCGGCGGCGGGCGCGGGCGCGGGCGGCGCGTCGGCGTCGATGTACCCGAGCTGCGCCACCTGCGCCTCCAGCTGCTCCAGCGCCACGCGCTTCCTGCAACATAGACGCACACGCTATGCCTTAATATGTATATACTAATATTATAAAGAGGGAACATTTTTTGTTTGTTTGTTTGTACCGAATAAGCTCGGACGGACGGACAGCGCAGGCTCAGTAATAGAGTTCCATTTGCACCCTTCGGATACGGAACTCTAAAAATTGTAAGTATTGAAAGATTGTAACTTTCTTGATTATAATTTGAGATTAGAACACAGTTTATAATCGGATTACATGTATATGTTAATATCAGTATGTTATATATGGATATAGTTATTACAAAAACTATATTGTGTATGACTAGATTCGTATTATTAGTCTCAATATTTAAATAATAAGTTCACCTTTCAGCCAAATCCGTATCCAGTCGGTTTCTCCTTGGACTTGGCACCGCAGAGCACGGGTTTGATTCCGGCGGCGTAGAACATAGAGAGTCGTCCTGGAAATAGAAAATAAAAAAAATATAGTAATTGTTACCATCAATCAGTTGAAAGTAACGCACTTGCCCGGGAAACCAAAAGGGAAATCTTATGATTCGTGTGAAATGAGACCACTGTTTATTAATTGTTTTTATTTTATATTTTACTAATTCATATATTTTACAAGACTTATGATGTTTATCCAGTATCATAGCGAGCCAAAGAGAGAGAGAGAGAGAGACTAGAGCAGGATGTCATCTAAACATATAATAAAATTCTAACTAAGCCGAATCTGTACATTAAATATTTTTTGGAAAATCTTATTAAAGTAGACATTATTATCGATACAGAGGCCGAATCTATAGTTTTTAGAATTTTTGTCTGTCTGTCCGTTACAGCATCACAGAAAAACCACTGAAGGGAAATTGATGAAATTTGGTATGGTAATTGCTGGTTATCCGGGTCAACATATAGGATACTTTTAACGGCGGAAAAATATCTCATTTCTGAGAAAAAATACAAAAACTGCAATGTAAGAGTATACTAATATGTAAAACTAAGCATTTCGTTGAGCATCTGAAAGCGGGCGGAGCCGCAGGCAATGCTAGTAGACTATAAATTCATAGGTAATAAATATGTAACATGAAACAGGTTGAAATACCGGATTTCGGACCTCTGATATTCTCATGTGCGAATCATTTCCAACATGATTACCAGTTGTCTTATTTGTCCAATTAAGACGGGTTTGTTTGGTGTTTCTGGCTTCTCTAGCCGGTAAGTCCCACATAACTACCTGTATGTATGCAGGTGGTATGCGTATATGCATTCTCTAACGTGCAAAAAGAAAGTAAATGTACTTAAATGCGTGCACGCGAGTGTACGTATCGTGGAAATTCGTCACTTGTTGATGCGAGTGCGTGTGTGTCGGTCACCTGTTAATGCGCGAACGTGTACGTCTCTCTCTCTCTTTCGCTGTGTGTGTGTGTGTTTAAATCAAACCAATCAAATCAAAATATAATTTATTCAAATAGACTTTTACAAGCACTTTTGAATGGCAAATTTAAATTAAATATCAGTGTCAGTCGGTTCGTGAGGAAGCTAAAGCCGGCTCGGAACGCAGTTCTGCTGAGAAGAACCGGCGAGAAATTCAACAGTTCTTTTAAAATAATAATTGTGTATAATGTTGTAATACAATAATTATCTATTTATCCTACGTGAGACCCCAGACAGTAGTTCCACACATTCATGTTTACGAAGTATTCCGTGTGTGTGTGTGTGTCACCTGGTGGTGGTGGGCGTGGGCGTGGGCGTCGTCCTCCTCGCTGAACATGTTGGTGTCGCGCTCCTGCGGCGACAGGCGCAGGCGCATGCCGGCCAGCTCCGCCTGCCACGGCTCGAAGTACGAGTCGCACGACGCCGACCTGCGAGCGACACACAACATTTATTATACTTAAATAATTGTACAGTAAAACATTGTGTTATGGATACCAGGTAGTTGATACACTACACATATATAACTTTAAATACATACATATTATAAATATAAACAGCCATGACTGGAATACAAACATTCGTGCTAATCACACAAATAAATGCCACCAGTGGGACACGAACCCGCGACCGCTGGCACAGCAAATAGGGTCACTACAAACTGAGCCAAACGTGTCGTCAAAAGTGATAATAGTATGGATAGGATAGGTGATGTAGCAGGATCAGGCGCTAGTACGAGACTAGGTGGTAGTGGGATACCTGGTGTGATGCTTGAGGGGCGGCGGCGCGCGCGCGGCCAGCGGCGGCAGCGCGTCCGCCTCCGACGACAGCGACTCGCACGACTTGGCCGGCCGCAGGCGCGGCTCCAGCTGGCTCGTCGTCTCCTGCGTGTCAACGTATTTATACAATACTCATTCATGGCTTATTTATTTATTTACTAGCGACTTAATCTCACTTCGCTCGGGCTCGTCCCTGGGTACATATTTTTTTTTGAGCGGAATCTTAATTTTTTTATTGAAATAAAAGTAGCCCAAGTTACTCCTTATAACATAAAGTACCTGCCAGTTAAAGTCCCGTCAAAATTGGCCCAGCCGTTTTGGAGATTAGCCGGAAGAAACAGACAGACAAAAAGATCATATAAAAATTTAAAAAAATGTGTTTTTCTTATAAATACCGTATGCATTTAGTAAAAAGTAATTCCATACGCATTTAGTAAAAAGCTGTTATTTTGACATTACAAACAGACACTTCAATTTTATTTATCTGTATAGATGTACAGATTTATTAGCGTTAGTTTTAAATATATTTTACTTATCGTAACGCGGAAAAAAATCCAAATCGGTTCAGGCGTCTTCGAGTAACCGGTGAGCATACATAAAAAAGAAAGAATCCGACGAATTGAGAACCTCGTCCTTTTTGAAAGTCGGTTAGTAAAAAAATCCCAGTGCGGGCGCGTACCAAGTGTGGCGGCGCGTGCGGCGCGCGCGGCGCGAGGGCGGGCGGCGCGCGCTGCAGCTTGCTGCGGCTGAACAGCCCGCGCCAGCCTGAGGGCGACCTCTTCAGGGCACGCTTGGAACCTTCAACAGACAAACAATAATAGTAGTAGCGAGTAGCAAGAAAATATATTCAAATGATGCATTTTAGATTTATTTTTTAACTCCCGACGTAAAAACGACAGGGTGTTATAAGTTTGACGTGTCTGCGTGTAGCATCGTAGCTCCCGAACGAATGAAAGACTTTGATTTTGTTCGTTTTTTCTTTTTGAAAGGTGATTTAGTCGGGAGTTTTCTTAGTAATGTTTGACTAAAATCGATCTAAGATGGCCGCCGCTACAAAATGGTGGATTTCATACTTTTTTACAACTCCCGCAATATGGGTATCAAATGAAAGGGCTCGACTAGCATAATAATAGACACTATAATAAATTTCAAATCCAAGATGGCCGCCACCACAACATGGCGAATTACATGTCGAGGGGTTTTTTTTTTAATTTAATCTATATAATACTTTCTTTATTACTGCTAATATTTTTATTTAAGGTTATTTCTTGTGTATTTGTTACATATAAAGTTGTTGGTGAACCTAATAAATAGAAAAAACATGAAAACTTCCATTTCACATTACACTATCATAGTGAAAATTCAAGCCCTTATAACATTCGAACCAGTGGCGGATACAGGAGTTTGGTTTGGGAGGAGCTTCATCCAACAAAAATAATAATTAAACACTAGAAAAATGCGTCATGATCGCAACAAAAGCTTTATTGTATGTTTGTGGACCAGATTGTATCAATCGTACCAGAATAAAAGCTAATCGATCAATAAAAAGCCTAAGGTCCATTCACTTCTGAACGTATGCTTCTCTCGGGTTGTGGTCCTGTGTCTGTCTGTCCCGTCCTATAAAACTCGTCTGTTCCAACAGACATTTTAAATTAATTTAAAACAAAATATTCCAACTTTTAAAAAGGATTAATATTATCCGGTTCAGGAATATAATGCGACAATTATTGAGGTAAAAGTTAATTTAAAAAAAAAAACAAAACACGAATTAAGTACCTCCTTTTTTTGGAGTTGATCAAAAGCATTACTAGAATAAACAATACAAATTAAATTTATAAATAAATTATTAAATAAAAATACAATTCTTACCGGGTATAGGCAGGTCTAAAACGGTATGGTACTGGGGCAGGTTGTTGGGGCCGGAGCCCACCTGGTACAATTAAAAAAATACAATGAAATCCTGTATGTTAATACTAAAGTATATATAAAAAATGTATGTGTTTATTAATTTCTAGCATCTCGCAATCGGAGAGTCTTTACCCAGATTCCAAAAAAAAAACAAAAACAATGTTTTTTTATTACTTCCATATTTTTTTATTTTTAAAAATTACTTTATTTTTCATTTTAAAAATTCGAAAAAAAAATGGTAATTATGGAAGGCCAACTAACGGACCGGGCTTAAAAGTTACACGAGGGAAAGAAGTTTAAAATAGAAAATTTTCAAAAAATCGAAGGATTTATAAACACAGTTTTAAAACACGATGGAAAACTTAAAATTCAAAAATCGCGATTAAAAACATTTTAAATATTTTTTTTATATTTCTTTTTGTAAAGGTCATCCAAAAACCAAAAAAATTGAAAAAGAAACAAAGTTGAATTTCTACCTCTATTAAGAGTATTGAGCAAAAAACCATAAAAAGAGCGGTTTTGAACCAGTGATTAAAAAAAACTCTCAAAATTTACCAGAAAGCCTCTTTTGAGGGGTACTAAAAGTACCAAAATATTAAAAAAATAAAAAAAAATATTTTTTTAAATCGTCCGAATAATACTTATGTTTATTTAAAATGTTAAATCGTCCGATTTGGCGTTGAATACCCCATATATATATACACACCTCGATATACTTGGGCTGCAGGTGCCCGGCGGGCCGCAGCGCCGCCGTGAGCGCGCCCGGCGACTCCGCGCACACCACCGACCTGCCTCGGCGGCGGGCCTCCTCTAGGCTGGAGGGATGAATTATAATAAACATGATTAAACTGATTGAACTATAAAGAATATTTTGTATTCAGCCCTTTTTAACGTCCCACTGCTGGGGGTGGGCCTCCCTTCAATACGAGGGGGATCAGGCGACAGTTCACCACCCTGGCCGAGTGCGGGTTGGCGGACTTCACAAGTCTTTCGAAAACTTGCTAGGTTCTCTCAGACACGTAGGTTTCCTCAAGATCTTTTCCTTCACCGTAAGGTAAGTGGGAATCATGTTAGGAATGTATCACACATGAAAATATCAGAGGTGCGAGACCCCGGATTTGAACCCGCTTCACTCGGTTTCCCAAGCGAGCGCGTTACCACTGGGCTACCACTGCCTCTATAGAGAATATGCGTGTGATTTAAATAAATGTTAAATAATTATTTTTATAATCTTTATTGCTTTTGAATGAAGCCTATAATCAATATTTTTTATTGTAATTCCTTTTTGATATGGAAAATAATGGTTACAAAGTGTAAATATAGGTGAGAAATTCAAAGTACTTAAAACGAACGCCATTGGTCAGACCGAATTTGACGTCAGAGTATTATCATAACAGAATAATTAGCTATTTTGTCTCTACAAACTAGAAGCAATGTCTTTTAGCACAAGTTGATTTAAAAAAATACGAAAACCGTAAATTTGTAGGTACACGTCAAAAGAAAAACTTGCAATTATAAACTTATTTTATTGTTTCATGCTATGGAACCTTACGTGTGCGAGTCAGACTCGCACTTGACCGTTTTTATTTCTGATTAGACGCCATTTTGAAAAGCATTATTATAAAGTATATTATGTTACCTTAACAATTTAGTAGGCGGGTTGAGAGGTAGGCTCTTGGGTCGTCTTCCAGCTTCCAGGCCCCTTAACTCTATGTGGGAGTCGTATTGATCCTGCAAAAAAAAAACATCTATACTTAATATTATAAAGAGGCAGAATTTGTTTGTTTGAACGCGCTAATCTCAAGGAACTACTAAACCGATATGAAAAATTCTCTTTGCATTAGATAGCCCGTTTATTGAGGAAGGCTATATAATATATATATATATATATATATATATATATATATATATATATATATATATATATATATATATATATATATATAGTCTATATATCATCATGCTACTATCCAAGGGAGCGTAGCGGTATCATAAATGTCAACAAATCGGGCAGACTTCCATACATTGTTGTAAAACTATGTATATAATATATTATATAAAAATAACCAATTTTGACAATCACTGCACTGCACATAATTTCTTAAATCAGTCAAATAAAATAAAAGGTCAAGAGTGAGTTGTACATATTAAGTTTCATAAATGTCTATATGTATCTATGAATTTATTAGGAGTTGATATAAGTTTTTGTTCACTAGCATAATATATTTAGAATGTCAAATATGATGTCTTCCCGGTCGATCTCACTGACATTAGCCAAATGCAGGAGATGTTATACACTATACACTATAGTGCAGACACGACGTGCACTCTCTACTCCTCTCACTCTCACACTCCGTTAGAACGAGAATAGAGAATATGCGTGTGATTTAAATAAAGGTAAAATATATTTTTTTTATAATCTTTATTGCTTTTAAATTAAGCCTATATTATTTTTTAATTAATTTATTTTTTGATTAAGAAAATAATTTGTAAAAAGTGCAAATATAGGTGGGAAATTCAAAGTAGTTGAAACGCAACGCCATTGGTCAGATCGAATGTGACAAGCAAGTCATAATTTTTAGCATTAAATTGGCAACACTGGCTCTGTGTATATCATACTGTGAAGTCACGCTAAGCGCGCTAAATGGCGGGCGTTAAAAGTATTCGTATCGATATGAAATTTTCAATTATATATATATATATATATATATATATATAATATTAAACTTTGTTTTTTTTGGAGCTGGATATTTTTTAGCAATTATATAAAGATGTAAGCTATTGTAACATAAATAAAAAAAAATCACGCTTATTCACTTTTAGACACTCCGAGGTGAAAGATCAGGCTTTACGTGCTCTGCCTCGACACGGGTATGAAGCCCCGCCTACTTCCCAACTCTGGGCTGTTATTGAGACTACCCTTAACAAAAACATTCGATAACTAAACTCGGCTCGATCCAGAACTCGAACCCAGGACTTTGTTTGTCCACGATTTAAAAAAACTGCTGAATCAATATCAACAAAACTTTCATGCGTCGAATATTAAAAAGGTAGAAATCATAGACAATAATAGACGAAACATACCTGTTCTAACGAACTGGGCCCGGAGTCAGCCCCTTGCTCTTGAGCGAACAGTTCTTCCGCGTAGCAGATTAAGAACTCCGTGACCACCGCCTGTGAATGTATATAATTGGTATTGTATATGGAAATAACAATATATATCTGTGTTTGTTTGTTCGTGTGTATGTATGAGTGTATATATATATATATATATATATATATACACATGTATCGTCGTCTAAGTGTTTAATTGTCCAAACGACCAATTTATTGAGTGATTTTTTAATACAGAATTATTGAATTTTAAATGTAAATTGATTTTAAATATACATTTTACTTTTTAAAAAAAGCCGAAAAGAATGTGTTTTATCTGTATATAGACACTAGCGACTCACGCTCGCTCCGCTTGGGTTGGTTCCTGCTTACGTTTAAACGTTTAGTATAAATTTCTCAGAGATGAGATATTTTCCCATAGTAAAAAGTATCCTATATGTTGATTCGGATACCCAGTTAACATCATACCTAATTTCATCAAAATCAAGTTAATGGTTTTTCAGTGATGCCGCCACAGATAGACAGACAGACAAATCTTCCAAGAACTGTAGATTCGATCTCCGTATCGACAATAAAGTCTATTTCAATACGATTTACCAAAAAATATTTAATATACAGATTCGACTCGGTTACAGTTTTATTATATATATAGGTAGATAGATGTTAGAAACAAAACGTTATTTACGAAATAAGTAACAAAAAAACTGTCTAACTCTGTTGGAACAAGTGCATGTGTGTGTGTGTGTGTGTGTGTGTGTGTGTGTGTGTGTGCGTGTGTACCTGCACGGCGACGCCCTGCAGCGCGTGCTGCGGCGCGGGCGAGCGCAGCAGGTTGGGCGCCCACACGATGGCCATGTTGCGCGCCGTCATGCCGGTGGCGGCGCTGAGCAGCGACACGCGGCGCAGGTGGCGCATGAGGTGCGCCAGCGTGCGGAAGTGCGGCGGCGGCAGCTTGGCCACGGCCTCGCGCACGGCGCGCAGCCGCGCCGCCTCCGGCTGCTGCACGGCGCGCACGAACGCGTCGTACAGCTGGTACGTGCACAGCGGGTTGGGCAGCTCGCTGCACACATACATACATATATAATACCTTCATAGCGATTTAGAATGTTGAGAGACATTTCGTTTTATATTTCCTTATAGTTACATTTAATTATAATAATCATTATTTTGGATTAAAATCACATTAATATTTTATATCACAGTATATTATGTATCATAGTAAACCGTATAAAACACTAATATAATACAATATAGTAATGAAATTACAACATAATGCAGCGTAGTATTATATAATGCAATAAAAGTTAGTGTAGTGCACTCACCGGAAGTACATCTTGAGCAGGCTGGCGAGCGCGTGCGGGTCGCGCTGCAGCGGCGCGGCGAGGTCGGGCGGCGCGCCGGCGTCGAAGGCGGCGCGCAGGCGCTGCGTGAGCGCCGCGCCGCCCGACAGCCGGTAGATGCCGTCGGCCGCGCCGCGCCGCTCGATGGCGGCCGCGCACTCCGCCAGCACCAGCGGCACTGCCGACACCACGCGCACACCGTTACATGTTGGGACATCACCAGTTCCGTGGTGAGCTAAGAGGCTGGTGTTGTGGATACCGGGTAGTTGACACACTACACATACAGGGGTGGATTTTTGAGACGGAACAGTAAGGATAGATAATCGTAACAGCTATAGTTACAGGAAAACATTCCTAAGAGACCTGAAAGTTAGATATTTTTACTTCTAGGTACAGTGTCCCACGAAACCGGCTCAACAAAAACTGAAGAATTTACCTTATACCCACTGAATAAAATGCCGGTTTTATACCTTACTGTAGTTTCTATACTCAAACTCCAATTGGTCTCAAAGAGTCTTTTGATCGCAGTAAGAAATGGGACTATTTGGCAACAAAGAATATTTCGAGTTAATTAATCGTTTTTCCGTACAAAATGTATGGGAAAAGTTTTTGGCGATTTTTGTCTTTTCTAGTACTCATACCTTAAATAGTCTCAATAGAATCTTTTGATCGCTTCATGAAATAGGATCGATAGGCCTCAACTTTTTTGTTTTGTATTTTAGCATTTTTTTCGATGACTGTACATTAATTCCAAAACCTGTAAATACAGTTCAGGATATCTCAAAAAGTTATGGATGGTCTCTTAGGAACGTTTTCCTGTAACTATAGCAGTTAAGGTACTTGCCCTTACCATCCCGTCTCAAGAATCCATCCTGTATATAAATTTAAATACACACGTATCATAAATATAAACACCCCGTTCGAGTACACACACATGACTGGAATACAAACATCCCACAAACGAATGCCTTCAGCGGAACTATAACCGACGACCGCTGGCACAGCAATTAGGCTCACTACAAACTGAACCAAACATTACAGAACGAATCCCCAACCCTTCAGCAACTCACCGTCGTGTCCACAATTGAGCAGGTGCTCCCCCAGGTCGCAGCCGAAGACCCTCTCCCGCAGTATGCCCTGCTGCTTGAGGCTCCGGCGCGACGGCCGCGACAGTATGAAGCTGCGGAACAGGGAGATGAGCTTGCCGTGCTTGCGGAGCACCGGTTTGATCGGCGCCACCGCTACCGACCTGGAAGTGGGGGGTGGGGGTGGGGGGTTAGATTATCTCATCTAATTTATTGGGGTTTCTAATAAATAAAGTTATTATTTATACAGAATCGAGAGCATCTAGATTGTGATGTAGAAGTGAGTTGGCCCGCGTGGTTCGGGCCGTCTGCAGTGGTTGTAGTGTGTGCCTAAGTCATTCTTCAAAGTCCTTAGTGAAAAAGAGTTTCACAGTATTCTGTCTCTTGACGGCCGACATTTTCAAAACAAACCAAAAGGGTTTCGTACCCGAAAGGTGACAACGAAACTCTATTATTAAATCTCCGCTGTTCGTCCGTCTGTCAGAGGGTTGTATCTCATGAACCGTAATAGATAGAAAGTAGAAATTTTTACAGAGTGTGTATTTCTATTGCCGCTATCACTACACAGTATAAAACAAAGTGGTTTTCCGCTGTCTGTTTGTCCCTATATATGCTTAGATTTTTAAAACTACGCAACGGATTTTGATCTTTTTAATAGAGTGTTACAAGAGGAAGGTTTATATGTATAATACATGCATATTATTATATTACAGAAAAGCCGAGAAATTCAAACATTTAAATTTCATATTAACCGTTAAAACGTACCTAGGGACAAACCCGAGGCGCAGCGACGGTGAGTCGCTAGTAACAACAAATAAAAATCAAGATGTACATGTATGTATGTATGTAGGTGTATGTATGTGTGTAAGTGTGTGTGAGTGTGTGTGTGTGTGTGTGTGAGTGTGTGTGAGTGTGTGTGTGTGTGTGAGTGTGTGTGTGTGTGTGAGTGTGTGTGCGTGCACTCACCCGACGATGGGCGGCGGCTGCGTCATGTGGCGCGGCACCTTGTCGCCGATGACGGCGACGCAGTGGTGCGGGAAGAAGCCCACGCGGAAGCCGCGCTTGCCGCGCCACCACACCGACTCCTGCGGGCCTGTGTTATACTCGTATTACACGGATCGCATCTAGGTTTTAACCTTCATCGTTTTGTTATATTACAATCTTTGTATATTATCTCATAATATTTTTAATTAGCGATTCTTGGGTATCTGTAAATTTATTTCGCGTATCTCGAAAACGACTCTGACGATTTGGACCAAACTATTTTTATATCTTTCCCTTTATTCGAAAGGAAATAGATGAGAAAAATTTTGCAAATAATACAAATATTTTCTACTGCTCCATCACAAATGTATTGGTGTTGAAGATTTTGAATTGATATTTTTTTTCGCGGATTTATTTAGATTTTTGGTTCCCGGCGTTTCGAATTCTGTACAGCAATCACCATCACGGGAGAGACGAAGGATTTAGACGTCTCAAAGGTCATTTATACGTAGTTGTTATAAACAGTACTAGTAGGTACCTACCCACAAAATTATACAATAGTTTTAAAAAATACACAAAAAATCGAAACGTTGGGAACCAAAAATCAAAATAAAAAAGAATAAAAAAAAGATTAAATAAAACCATACCGGTTGGTACAACAATTTAAGGATTGGTTATAATCGCGAATAGTTAATTGATGATTATTTGGTTGATAGGTTGATCAATAAATTGTAAAAATCTGTCTTTTATACTTAACATACAAAAAAATGTATCTTTACATACAAAAAAAAAGAAAACAAAAAAATATGACTGCGTGTAACTTTTACGCGCGGTTGAAATAAAACTTCTTTCGCAAATATCGCAATTATATTAAAACAAATCAATAAGGCATAAGACATTATTAAATAAGGCATATTACAATCATATATTTATAGAATATCATATACGAAAAGAATATAATATTATATATCATTTGTCAGACAATAACAACGGTCACCATGGCAACACGGCAATATATTCTATCTCATTCTCTCGCCGGCTTAATCCTATATTCTATATGTTTGTCTCTTTCTAGTGTCGCATTGTCGTTTCATCAAGTTTCAAATCACAACGATTCTAAAGTAGTTTCACTTCAAAAATATCTTTAATCTTTAAAAAAAACCAAATACAACTCACCTGGCATATCAATAATCGATATCATATCTCCCACATCAAAACTTATTTCATCTCGCGCCTGAAATTACATATAACATACTAAGGTAAACATCTGTTACTGATTTTACATATTTTACACTAGCAAATAACGTTTTCAATAGATAAAAAAATAATATTATAGTTATTGCGAGTGTAACAGTAGTAGCCCAGTGGTAACGCGCTCGCTTGGGAAACCGAGTGAAGCAAGTTCAAATCCCGGGTCTCGCACCTCTGATATTTTCATGTGCGAATCATTTCCAATATGATCACCACATGTCTTAACGGTGAAGGAAAACATCGTGAGGAAACCTGCATGTCTGAGAGAACCTAGCAAGTTTTCAAAAAACATGCTCAGTCCGCCCGCACTTAGCCAGCGTGGTGGACTATGACCTAATCCCCCTCGTATTGAAGGGAGGCCCACCCCCAGCAGTGGGACGTTAAAAAGGGCTGAATACTATTGCGAGTGTACCTTGGGAGATAGACATATACTGTTGCGGACTTTTCTGTAGACCTTATTAAGACCTACAATTTTCTAGTACATTGTTTTGATGTATCTCTCAAGGTTTAGTCAGCGTTAGCCATATAAATTTGTAAGGGCGACTCGACAGAACCTTGATCCTCCTGATTTAGATGAAATTTTGTGTGTATATTTCAATGGGCTCCTGAATGGTTTGAAAATACAATTGGGCCCAGTAGGTGGCGCTGCAGTCGGTGTGCCAAAGAGTTTGTTTTTTTTAATGTAATTTATTAATGTAATTTGAACGCGGGCGAAGCCGCGGGTACTGCTAGTTTAATATAAAGTCCATACAATATTTTAAGTCACGATACGTACCTGCGATACATATTTCCTCACAGAGTACGCGGCGGCCACCGCCGGCGTGTTTATTGAACTTGAGTCTTCATTCGACACTAATAACTTGTGACCTGTTAAAAAGTTATTATTAAAATTTAAAAAAAAACAACGTTTGTGTCAAACTAATAGCATAGAATAAATATCCATACAGTAGACAATTCAATTCTCTTGTTAATGTCTTCAAAGCGTCCCAGTTCAGCACAGATTACTTCGCCAATGACACGTAGAATGGAGAAGATACGAAGGGGATTGGTCGGTAACAGTAGGCAAACTCTTTTGATTTTCACGGAAATGCTTTCAAATGCGAGGGTTGTCAAAAATACCAATTTTCAAGCCAATACCAAAAACCAAGGTACAAACAAACCCGACAACCCTACAGCCGTCTCCCGACTGACATATAAAAGTAAGTATGCCAGTCGGGTGCGACCAGCTGTCTAGACGTTTTCGTTAGACTGTATGGATAAAACTATATACTAATAATATATGAAACTTGTTAAAACGAAACAAAATAGGTTATGAATTTTAAATTGAAGAGTTCTACTATTTTCTCCTGGTGATGAAGTTTCACCATCAGATCAGCTCGATATTATCAAATTATGGTGTTATCATTGATTTTACTTACATATAAAGCCTTAAAATTGTCTTTTTTTGTATATTTTATAAAGAGAAAAGATTTTTTGTTTGTTTGTACCGAATAAGCTCCGAAACTACTGAACTGATTTAGATGAAATATGGTAATGAAATATGGTATGGTATAATCGAACCTACTCACCTCTATTATCCATTTGCAACCAGTTCAAGGCTGGCCCGCAATTGATGGAGTCGTCAGCTATGATAGATAGATGGTGGACATAGTCGGATATTAGCTGCCTATATTCACTCTCATTCTCCAAGAGATCAGGCGTCATGGCTTCCTTCAGATTGGGCAAGCCTGACACCTTCCTGTCGTATATACATCTGGAATTAAAAAAAAGTATATATACATATTAAATTAACTTTGAAAATTATTTGTTTCAGGATGTTACAGTTCAAAAAAATATTTTGTATATATGTATTATTTAACCAAAAGTTAAAAATAAGAATTTTCTAATTTTATTAAAGTTGCTTAAAAAATAAACAATATTTTTAAGGTTATATACATTATATAGCCATAGTTTTAAATATGAAGCATGTTTTAAATAAAAGCATTATATATTTTATTTTTAATGAATAAAAATATGTATGTCTTTAATTAAATAGTTTATATTTAGGTGTAAAGAGACAGAGTATATAAAATGGTATAAATATTTCTATCTGCTTCTCTCTCTCTCTAACACATCACCAACTTTTTAACTCGAGACTGAGATTTTTTTTTATCCCGGGTTAAACCAAGTTTAGTTATTGAACTAAACTTGGTTTAACCCGGGATTCGATCCCAAGGCCTCCGGATCTGCAGTTGTACATGCTAGCCACTAGACCATCGAGGCAGTCAAGATGCATATAAAAGTTTATACGGTACTTTAATAAGATAAAAAAAAAAACAATTTTTAAAAGTCTTTTTGTCTGTTTGTTCCAGCTAATCTCCGAACGGCTGGACCGATTTTGACGGGACTTTCACTGACAGATAGCTGATGTTATAAGGAGTAACTTAGATTACCTTTATATTAGAAAAAAATTAGGGTTTCTCGCAAATGAATGAGATAAAACCCATGAAATTATGAAGAAAATCCGTCCTAGACAGCAGGGTTAAGTCGATTGTTAAGGAGTATGCATCCAGTAGTATCGCGCTTGCTTGAAAAACCGAGTGGAGCGGGTTCAAATCCCGGGTCTAGCACCTCAGATATCACGCGCGAATCATTTCCAACATTGATTACTACTATAATAATGAGGAACCATAAATAAATTACGAAGAAACCTGCATATCCGAGAAAACTTAACAAGAAAGGGTGGGCTATGGCCTGATACCCTCGTATTGAAGGGAGGCCCACGCCCAGCAGTGGGACGCACCTGTGCAGCATATCATCTAGATGAGTGAAGTGATCCTTGTTGCGCGTGAGGGTCCACTCGCGCACGTCGCTGGCCTCCGTCCACGAAGCACTGAGCGCGCGGGCCTCCGCTCCCGCCGCCGCCGCGCTCACGTGCGACCTCACTTTAAGAGACACCCACCCTGTAATAAAAATGATAAAAAATATAATAATAACATATTAAACTCATACATTAATACACATAAAGCAGCCATATTAAATACATTTCGCATCGTTAGAAAATTCATGCAGGATGACACTAATATAGCCCCAATTACAACGACGATTACTTGGTTTTGACCCGTAATCGCCATTTATCTACCAGCTTTTAGTTGAGAATCTATACACATACAAATAATAATAATATTCTCTCTGTCCAAAATGATCACTCGTCTTACGGTGAAGGAGAACGTCGTGAGAAAACCTGCATGTCTGAGATAACCTAACAAATGGTATGAGTAAATGCATTTTCCAACATAAAAAAAAATTGCAGTTGGTTTGACTTCATGTAAATGAATTGTGTTGGAAAAGTAGATATGTAAACCCAGTAGCGTCACAATTTCATTCATATTATCTTTTAGATTATAAATAAAGTTTAAAAAAATGACCCTTAGATTCTCCTGAATTTTCCAAATACAACTAAAGACATTACTTAGATTATTAGGACCATTTTACAATATAAATTTGCCAAATCAATCCAGCCGCTCTCAAGTGCAAGCATATTCTTCTCATATGAACTACGAATTCGAATACGAATTTTCATATGAAAGTTATATAAAAAAATTAATTGCTTGCAATAAAACAACTAAATAACTAATATGTCTCAAAACTCCCTCTCCTTCAAACATATAATAATAATTCTCCATAAAGAAAAAATATATTATAGAAAGCATTATTATTATATTATTACTTTCATTTATCCCAAATCTAACAATATTCAATACTTCTCCACCTCCTTTAAACATATAAAAATTAAAGCTCCCCAAAAAAAACAACTTCCGATTCCAGACCTAGCAACACAAAAAAAACAAAAAAAGTAACAACTCACCCTCCCCCTCTCCCGGGGAATCCCCGTCCGAATCACACGGCAATAGTTCCACAGATATACCCCCTAAGGACACCCTCTCGTAATGGAAATGGGCACATTCCTCTAACTTTGGGAACCTGCATGCCGGAGGTGGGTGTGGCTGGAAAGAAATATATTAAAGTGTAAATAAATGAAAACAAATTGTCATATTTATCTATACAGATAAATAAAATTGAAGTGTCTGTGTGTAATGTCAAAATAATAGCTTTTTACTAAATGCATATGAAAGGATATACGGTAGTAATAAGAAAAAAAAAACAATTTTTACAATATATTGTCTACGTGTTTGTTATTATCTCTGAAATGGCTGGACCGATTTTGACGGGGCTTTCACTGGCAGATAGCTGATGTTATAAGGAGTAACTTAGACTACTTTTATTTTATTTTTAAATTAGGAATCCGCGCAAAAAATTAGCATGTACATATGTTATTTTAGGTCATATGCCTACTAGATGTAAAAAACTAAATTTCATATAAGTTCGTCGAACAGTTACTTTGTAAAAGCGTAACAAACATACACACACGCACATAAACTACCACATTTTTAATAGCAGTATAGTCTAATAATCCATACAGTCAAGAGCTATATTTTGCAGGGAGGTATTCCCGACTGACATACTTACTTTTATATGACAGTCGGGAAATAGCTTTAGGGTTGACAAACAACTGTAATTTTGAGATAGATATTAAGAGATAGCACTTCCTCTTTCGACAACCCTTGCATTTGTCAACATCTCCATTAAAATGAAAGGCCTATTGTATGAATTTTTAAACGAATATAGCAGCGTGATTATTGATATATAAAAACGTTGATACACATTTAATATCTCATCAAAAAGTGGTGTCGCCATGTCACGTTAAGTCAAACCAAGGATAACATTCAAAACTCGAAAGTTCTAATTATTTAAACACAAATTCAAACTTACGCACACCACATAAAGAATATTTTAAAACGAAACAACGTGTGTTTTAATTTTGTCACCCGAAAAGCAATAAACAAAAGCGATTTCTTAAAAGCGCAGTTCAATTTCGAACTGCGCACTTCTTTTTGAGGACACTTTTGAGACGCTAATTATGTATCTTAAGTATTTGTATATCAATGAGTACATAATTGAGACGTTAACACACAGCACCATCTAGTTCCATCATACGCTACGAGGCTTATGTTATGGATACCAGATAGTTGATACACTATACATATATAACTTTAAATAAATACATATTATTACACGAATGTTTGTACTCCAGTCATGGATGTTTATATTTATAATAAGTATGTATTTAAAGTTATATAATATGTGTAGTGTATCAACTATCTGGTATCCATTATACAAGCCTCGTAGCTTACCATGGAACTAGATGGCGTTGTGTGTATTAACATGTTAGGATAGGTATAAATAAAAACAACCATGACTGGAGTACAAACATTCGTGCTCAACACACAAATGAATGCCCACAGCGGGACTCGAAGCCACGACCGATGGCACAGCAAGTAGGGTCACTAAAAACTGAGCCAAACGTGTCGTCAATACATAATACATACATAATTTAATATAATTATTATAACAATACCGTATCATCGATATCGAAGGTCGTGGAGGCAGAGGGCGCCGACTGACTCATGGCAGAGTCCTGAGACACAGGCGTCATGGAGATCGCACTGAGAGACATCGAACCTGTCGGACGATGAGGAGAATGTTATCTACAATTATTATTATATTATTACCAGCTAACGTTACGGTTAGGGAAAAATCGTGAGGAAACCTGCATGTCTGAGAGAAACTAGCAAGTTTTCAAAAGACATGTGATGTCCACCAACCCGCGCATGGCCAGCGTGTTGGACTGTGGCCTGATCCCATCGTATTGAAGCCAGGCCCACCCCCAGCAGTGGGACGTTAAAAATGGCTGAATACATACATACATACCAACTAACTGTCCCGACAGACGTATATAGAAAACGCTTTTTAAGACTAGGGTTTCCTAACGGTTCCGCCCGCGTAGCTCAATTATGTATAACTACTGAGATATTTAAACTATATTATTGTAAAGTTTCATCGAACTCCGTTTAGTCGTTTTTTCGTGAAAGAGTAACAAATATATATTCGTACATCGCTACAAACATTAGCATTTATAATAAATAGTACCTATTATTTATAGTAGGATGTATTATATAGAAAAAAAAATATTAAGTTACACAAAAAAAAACTAAATTTTCTCCCCAAAAACCTTTTACTATTAGGGATTTTAAAGACAAACTTAGACAAATCAATCCAGTACTACCAGTTCTCTCTTTTCAATCCTCAAAAGTCGGGAAAACATGTACGCAAAAATAACTTTAAAATATATGTCTGCCTTTCTTTTAATCCGGGAGAAAGGCGTAACCGATTGTAATGTGACTTTCACTGAAATATAAAGGAGTATGTAGGGCTAGATATAGGGTGTATTATATTCCTGGAATAAGTTTATTCCGGTTTCAGTGCGAAAACCGAAAATCCTTAAAAATTACGCAAAATTCGAATTTACGATTTCACAAAAACTTTTCTAACTATTGAAAACGTACGTAAAGAGGCACCCGAACTAAGCGGGGGTAAATCGATAGTATATAATTAAAAAACAATCTCACCAGACGTTTCCCTCTTGCATTCTGTATCGGTGGATGTTCGAGTGTTTTGACTTCGTGAATCTGAACTAAAGCGCACCGTTCTGGAAAAAGAAAAAGAAATATTTTACCAATCAATATAGATTTTCATTCATGTATATTGTATATAATTATAAAAACAAAATATTACTACGATACATAATATACTATACTCGCTGATGAATCACAACTTTTTAGATAGTACTAGCAACTCACTCTCACTCCGCTCGGGTTCGTCCCTACTTACGTTTGATTTGTTTAGTATAGATTTCTCAAAGATGACATATTTTCCTGCAGTAAAAAGTATGTAATAAATTTCATCCAAACCAAACAGCCGTTTCAGCGTGAAGGAGTGACAAATATACAGACAAACACACGTACCTGTGAAAGGTTGCCCGCGACGCACAGTGCGGGTCTTTGTCCGGCTCAGAGAAGGCGCGCGCCGCCAGCGACTGGCACGACATCACCGAACCGTGGGGGGAGCCCTGGAATTGAGAGAAAATTTATATATTAGTATTTAAAAATAAAAATATATAGAATTTACATAAGACAGTGGTAGCCCCTTGGTTACCATGCTGTTATTTCAAAGGGTTATCTTAAATCAATGAATCACAACCACTTGACTTTTATCTGTTACCATTATCAGTATTTACGAGGTAACGATGCATTACCCACTTATGTCGAGTATTCGGAGTTCTTATAGTTTGGTTCATTTACCAAATATTGCAAAATGTCACATCAGGCAGAATAACTTTTTTGTTATTGTTTTTTTTTTATTTAAATGGGTCTACTTTTTGCGACTTCAAAAAATTATAAGGTACCATTTTATTAAATAAAACTATCTTTTCGTATTATTTCGCGGATTTATTTTGATTTTTGGTACCCGACGTTTTGAATGCTTTACAGCATCCATGGTCACGGGAGAGACTTTAATAATGTCAAACATTCGCGTAAATCTAAGAAAGTATTAGGGACCATTTTCTTTAAAGATATTGTATTAATAAAAAATATATTACAATGGTATTTCCATATATTGGACTGTACATAAAATTAACTTCAAAGATGGCAGTTACCAATTAATTTCTTAGAATTTAGAAATTATCATGGAGGAATTAATTAGTATTTTTTTTTATGTCGACGCTTTTTCTGGTCCTGAACAGGCTTTTTTAAAGATTTTCATTGAAAATGCCAAAGAAAAACATCTACATCTAGATACCACCCTTTATAAACAATTTAAAAAAAAAGAATCTATATAGGAAAAGTACCAATTATGGAATACGTTCCTAATATGGAACACCATAATATTTCTAAAACTAAGCGCCACGAATATTCTAGACGTATGTCATAGTATCCCTCTCGCTACCCGCGTTCGACGGCCAGAGGGAGTGTGGCTTTTGGCAGCACTAAATGCGAGTAAGAGTGCGCGACACTGTTGACGAAACATCCATTGGATATTTACGTAAGCTTTACGTATATGTTCTCTTATTATTCTTACATGAATATTTCGATAAAAGTTGGTGAGTATCTAATCGAAGTATGTAGTTTTTAAATGGTATTGTTATTTTATGAATATTTAATAATAATAAAAAGTTATATTTTTTTTTCTCTCGCCATCATATTGTTCGTAATATGGAATATCGTCGAGTTCCTAATATGGAATACTAGTCCATATTAGGATCTCAACGTAAGTTAGTTTTTAATGTGGTGACTTATTACTATTTCTCTCTTTTACAAATATATTCATGATCAACATGGATCCGCCAGTAAAAAACCGAAAAGCCTGAAACAAAACCAATATGGAAAATGCTATTGAAGCGGTGAAAACCCAAACAATGGGTTATAAGAGAGCTGCACATGTCTTTCATATAACAACATATAAGTCAGAAAAACAAGCGAATGTAGAAACCAGTGTTGAAGTCTGAATCATCTTCTGATAGAAATACCACCTTTATCTAATGATTATAGTGACGATAAGCCCGCAGTTACTCAACTGTACGATCCAAATGCTGACGCTGGGTGCATTTATTGCTCTGTTTTTCTCAGTGAAGACAAAAAGGGAGAAGAGTGGATTCGGTGCATTGCCTGTAGACAGTGGTGTCACGTTGCGTGTTCCGGATCAGAACATGCAGATTTTATTTGTGATTTTTGCTTGCAGGGTTGATTTAATATTTTGTTTTGATTAACGAGACGTGATCCTATTATGGAATAGGGTATTCCATAATAGGATCACATTTTTGAGAAGCAATTTTTTGGTTGATTTATTTTAGTTAATAATATTACGGAAAGTGTTTATTATTTGATGATTTCATTATTACTTTTCAAGAGTAATTACTACTGCATTTAATTGTAAACCATTAAACTGATTAAAATAAAACTTTTGTACTGGTTTTTTTTCAGAATTTGTTTATGTATTCCATATTCGGTCCTTCTCCTATACGTATAAAATCTAGACTAAAAAGCATATATAAATTACCATTTAAATAAGGAATTTGACACAAGCAAAACCAGGATAATAAGGTATGTTCATAAATAACATCATACACCGGATAGCGAGTAACAAACAACCAAACAAACACATTAGCATACGTAATACTAAGCAAATGAACTAAAGGTGCACAACAGCCACATCGTCCATTTATTGCAATTACGCGTGACATAACAAAATGTACGCAGCAATATATAATGTCTAAGAGTCTAGACTAATAGTATTTTAATAGATTGTAGAAAACTTTATCGCTTCAAAAACGAAAAACATAAACGTAAAGATATAAAATATATTGCAAGCTGTATTTATTTGGCAATAAATAAAGATATTTGTAACTAGCGACTCACCCTCGCTTCGCTCGGGTTCGTTCCAATACAAACTTTGATTCTCCATACAGAATTACATCCCCGTTTTCACCCCCTTAAGGGATGATTTCCGGGATAAAAAGTATCCTATGTGCTTCCCAGGGTCTCAAACTATGTTCTTACCAAATTACATCTAAATCGGTTCAGTAGATCCAGAGATTACCCCCTACAACGTCACTCACAAACTCACAAACTTTACCTCTTTATAATATTAGTATAGATGAGTTCGCTTAAGAAATCAAGAGATGAGGGTTAACAACCAGGTCTTGCAACACTTGACCACAACTTGCTAATTGGGTGAATAAACATCGTGAGGAAATAAATATTTTGGGACATTGACACACAACACCATTTAGTTCCATGGTAAGCTACAAGGCTTGTGTTATGGATACTCATTTGTTGCTCATTGGTGCTCATCACACAAATGAATGCCCCTAGCGGGACTCGAACCCGCGACCGCTGGCTCAGAAAGTACTACTACACTACTAACTGATCTAAACGTGTCGTCAAAAAGTCTGAAAGAACACAACAAGTTTTCGAAAGACGCGTGAAGTGCACATAGTGCCTGAGATCCACATAGCAGCAATCTTTTATTATTTCTTTTTCCCAGGGTCCCCATAATATAAAGATTAGTTATTCTCATTAGACACATCAAATAAGATAATAAACAAATAAAGAAGATAATCTATACAGATAAATAAAATTGAAGTGTCTGTTTGCAATGACGAAATTGAACGCTTCTTACTAAATTCATATTAAAATATATACGGTACTTATAACAAAAACACAATTTTAATTTTTTTTTATCTGTCTGTCTTTTAGTTCCGACTAATCTCCAAAACAGCTGGCTGAACTTATTTTGATGGGATTTTCACTGGCAGATAGCTGATGTTGTAAGGAGTAACTAAGGCTGCTTCTATTTTCGAAAAAAGAATTAGGGTTCCGGTAAAAAAACTGACCTAGGGACGCACCCGAGCGAAGCGACGTGAAGTCGCTAGTTTAAAAATAAAGAATAAAGAAGATAATGTAAGAAGGTATGTTTGATACAACAACAAATTAAGATGATTTTATGAAGTAGTCGCCTTGAGATTTTAGTAGACCTATGGAAGTCGAAGTCCATCGCCATAAAAAAATAACAGGAACTAAATAAACTATTGAACCTACCGCTAGTTAGTAAGATACTAAATTATCTAAAGTACCTCAAAAAGAATCGGGAATCGAACTGACGACCTCCTAACAAGCCAGACGTTTTCAAATCCAAGCACTTACAAAGAAAAAAAAGAAAATATCTTTTCCCTATCATTGAAATAAAGCTTGCGTACAACACGAATAGACTCAGCGATGCGGCTTAATTGGCACTTAAGAGAAGATAATTATTTCTTCAATTGAAAACATCGATAGACTATCGAAAATTTTCAACCTTCTAACTAGTTTTCACATTCGGTAATGTTTGTGGTAAATAAGATACTTCCATACTAGTATTATAAGCTAAAAAGCACTTTTTGTATTTTTCCCCAGAAATGAGATATTTTTCCGCGGTAAAAAGTATCCTATGTTGACCCGGATAACCAGCTATCACCACACCAAATTTCATCAAAATCAGTTTTTCAGTGATGCGGTAACAGACAGACAAAAATTCTAAAAACTATAGATTCGGCCTCTGCATCAATAATAATGTCTATTTCAATAAGATTTTCCAAAAAAATACTTATTGTACAGATTCGTCTTAGTTACATTTTTATTATGTGTATAGATTATAAAGAGGTAGTTTGTTTGTTTGTTTGAACGCGCTAATCTCAGGAACTACTAATCCGATTTAAAAAAAAAACTTTTTGCATTATATAGCCCTATTTGATACTACTAATCAAGGGAGCGGAGCAGTAATATGATATATAGTCTATCTACTCCATACTAACCGTTAAAACGTACCTAGGGACGAACCAGAGCGAAGCAAGGGTAAGCCGCTAGTGTTAATATATAAACACATATATGTAATAGGGAGACTTTTTAAATATTATGTTTGTACGTAAACTTTGTTCACATCAAACCACTCAAGCGTTTGACCTTAATCGTTTTGTAATTAACTTGGGAATTCTATACATGAATTGAATAAGGTTGTAGAACAAATTTTGTAAAAATCCAACCGCGATTATTGTACTTTTGTTTAAAAACGCTCTTGGAAGATTTTTGTTACTTCACATTTTTAATTTATTTCATAAGTGGCGAGCGACCTGGTATTTGAAGAGGCTTCTTTTATCTATATGTACTAATATTATAAAGAGGCAGTTTGTTTGCTTGTTTGTGTTTGTTTGTTTGTTTCAACGTACTAACCTCAGGAACTAATAATCTGATATGAAAGTATTTTTATTATTTCATCATGCTACTAACCAAGGGAGCGGAGCAGTAATATAATATATATGTATAGTCTATTTATTCCATACGAACCGTTAAAACGTACCTAGGGACGAACCCGAGCGAAGCTAGGGTGAGCCGCTAGTTTATCCTAAAACATACCATTGCTTCACTCTTTGGTTTTGAGCTTCTTTTGCCAGACCTTCTCGGGTATAAGGCTATCTATTTCCGAACAGGTGGTAGACTCATGACGTTCAGTAAAAAAAAGTTATAATTTAATGCT